AGATGGAAGTGAATACTCAATGTATTCCAATAATCCGTTACATTTGCTCTCTCAGAAGTGTTCGTTCTCCAGATTTCTATCGTCTAATCTTTATACCTGATTCGTTTATGGCTTTCTTGTCCCTGTATTACCCTTTTGGCTGAGGGCTCTACTCCCTATTCCTCCTCCTCCTCCTCTTCTTCGTCTTCGGCTTCGGGTTCCATTTCGGGTTCCACATCTTCCTCCTCTTCTTCGGCTGCTGGGGGGGGGGGAGGGAGGGGAAATGCACGGACCAATTAACCGTAGCAATCAAACGATTAGTAAGTTTCGTTCGCAACTCTAAAGTCTCATGCTGACATTTAGAAAGTGTAAAAACCCAAAGGGCTTACCAATAACAAGCAAAAAAGGAAAACTTTAAAAATGACGCAGATATCCCAATAACAACAAATGAATCTCTCGCATCCCGTTTTTTTTACATACACTCCCACCGCTCAGCATCACACAAATCCGAGACATTCACCTTTCTTCCCCTATTATTCTCCGCTTGCTATACCCATATTGCTATATCAGCTGCTAGGATATACTTCTACTCCCAGAGCTTTCGGGTCAGATAATTGGATTTATCGTCTTATCTGGTTGATGGCATAGATAATATCATACTGGATGGTATTATACAAGAGCACGGGGTTGACTCCTGAATGAGTGAAAGTAATTGTTCAATGAAAGGAACGCTTTTAACCTTCCTCATATTATCATAATGTACAAAATGTTATACCCAATTCATAATCATATGTTCAACCATGGGCCATTGATTTGTTTCCTTCTCACCTATGAAAGTATTAGCATTTCATCCAGTAAAAATTGATAGGGTTAAGTGACTTACCATAGGCGCCAGAATTTTAACACCAGCTCCCAAAGCCAAAACGGTAGCCACCAAACTCAACTTATTAAACGCCTTGCCCAAAATATCAAAAGCAGCGCTAGGTGTAACCCTTGTTCCAAAAACATCAATACCATATGCGAAGACCAGACTAGTACTTTCTAGTAGAGCAGGACTAGTAATGATACCTTTAATACCTAGAACTTCACGTTTGTGGGTGATGATAAGTTTTGGGTCGAATTCGATGACAGGCGAGTAACGAAGAAGTCCTTCTTCTTGCTCGGCGGGGATAGGGTCTCGGCCAACTGGTCGACGGGGATCAAGAAGAAAACGGGGAATGCCGATGATGGAGTTGGATTCCAGGGTGCAAAAAAGCTGACGAGTAGTGATGCCTTGGCGAGTTTGAGAAACAGACATGTGAGTGATTGCTTCAGGAACCACAAAGGATTGGCTGATCACATGAGGAAGAACTGGGCCACCATTTATTACATCTAATGGGTCAAGGCTTGAAGCATTCATGTTCGAGCCAAGGGGTCCACGATCATTAGGAATTGGGGATTCGTAAAGATCGGTGATGATAAGTTTATGTCCTTTGGAACCTTGCAAAGAGGTGGCGGTTGATATTTCATTGCTCCAGAAAGAATAGGCAAACCAATTCTCGGTAAAGACAGAGGCAATAGGTTTCTTAGTGTCAACACCCTCGTGATGCACGGCATAAAGAATGTCGCCTGAAACGGTATCAAGGAGATAAAAGGAGACAGTTGATGTTAGGTCGGAGACGGCAGTCACCAAAATGACGTTAGGATTTAAATACTTGTACAGAACAGTACGGTCACCAAGAACTCGACCAATCGATGCAACTGGATCGTGTGCGGGCTTGGTCACCACGCCGACGACCCTTTGACCAGTTGGTGGGTGAAATGACCAAGTGAAGATAGGTTTGGCATCAAGACCTTGGGTATCGAATTTCAAGCCCTTGACTTCCCCATCCTCACCACGAACCACAAGCGATCCCTTTGGTGCCCATTCTTTTGGTATATCACCAGGATTTCCATTGATACCTATTGGTAGTACCCATCTTCCAGAATCGCTATCAACGACAGCCGCGCTCTGAACAGCTGGCCACTGGCCAGGGTTTATAGCCTCAAGTCCCTGTCCAGTGGTGGTATTCACGATAATATATTCTCCTTGACTACCTCGGACTGTTGTTGTACTTTTAGAATTATCGACATATATAGACTTGACGTCCCATTTCTTGCCAACCGGTATATCGAAAGCTTTCGAACTCCATACAACACTTCCTTGAGATCCGGCATCAAGTGCATATAATCGACCTCTTTGGGTAGCAACGATAACTAACTTGTTGAAACCAAAGGAATCTCGTGTCAAAACGCCTTCCTTTGGTGCAGCCAAATCTCCAGGTAAGATGGCACTTAAAATTTGGGTTGGTAGCTTTTGCAAATACGCAGGAAGATATTGTAAGTCGTTAATATGACGCTTAACTCGGTGAACGTACGCAGCCCAGGGGTTGCTATGAGCTTCAGCCTCGAGTGTCTCAGCCAATGATTCTGATACCGGGATATCAGCCCATTCAGCAGCCACAATACCAGAAAGGCCCTCGACACGAGACCAAGCTACAGCACCATTGAGCACCAAAACCCAATCCTGCTCCGCACTGACCATAGCTGATCTAACAGCATAAGTATCAGGAGCTTTTTGAACCACTTCTGATGCACCATGGAGAAATTGAAGTCGATCATGTGGCTTTTCTGCTTTAATCGGCCATCTGCCCAAAATTCCATGAGACATTGATGAGAAAATAAAAGTTTCGTCCTCGGTAAAACGGGTGAAATAGACGTTAGCACCTTGTGAACTGGTTGAGAAAGCGCCTTTTCCAGCAAGCTTTGGAATTTCATATGCTTTGCTGATGCTACCACTCTTCATGTCAATGTGATAAACATCTGCTCGGTTCGAAGTTGCCGAGTGACTGTGTACCAAGAAATGTGGTAAGGATTGAACCAAATTAGGAGCGTGAATAGATATTTTTGTAATCTCGCCATCTGATGATTTTAGAGGTAATGTTTGTAAGTCGCTTGGTTTACCCAGAATATTGACTTTAAGATTCTTCAAGGACCTATCGGTCCAAGCAATGATTGGTGCAGCAGAATTAGCTCCCACAAGTAAGACATCCTCTGGAGTATGGACATCTCCTTTGGTCGAGAGAGTATATTCAGTGACTCGTTGACCTGTCAAATGGTCCAAAGTAGTAACCTTCACACTGTACCCTCCCCAAGAACCATGAAGAGTGACAACAAAAATGTCTCTAACATTTGTGCTGATTTGCAAAGGTAAATCACCACTTGCATCAACATATTCCCATACAACATCTCCATTGTCACCATTTAATTTTCGTACCACGACTTTTCCAGCATCTTCGAATAAAGTCAAAACGTCCTTGACATTATCAAATCCCTCAACAACTTCCAAATCCTTAGCTATTCCTGAGAAAGTATTGCCCCATCTTTCTCTTCCACTCTTCGCATCCCAAGCATCAACTCTGTTGCCCAAAGCACTAACCACTGTACCAGCTCCCTCAACTGGTCGTAGAAGGCCTTTTCCGCTATTATTATCATTCGTCAATATTTGTCGCCATCTAACCTGGCCTGTACCTGGATTGACAGCTCCAAGAACTCCTAAATCACTCAATGCATATAATAATGCGCCTTGTTCATTTTCCCTAGGTTTGTAGAAGAATGTTGTCTCTGGTTGTGGGATACCTAGTAATTCGTGGTGATAGTCGACGGTGTATGCTTCATCTGCGAAAACTGCAAGGGTACGTGGAAGTATCGACAGAGTCAGACAGAGTAGATTTAGAGGGAGTCGCATAATGGATGATGTTGAACTGGATGTGGACCTCTAATGTGGCATGAAGCTTGGAGCTTGGTTATCTATCATAAAGTGGTACGGAAGATATTCGGAGCGGATTAATTAATCACCGATTGGATTCATTTCCTCGCCTCAGTTACAACTTCATATTTAGGATCTCAATTGAAGCACCTTACCAAGAGTACGCATTTGAGAAATACAGGCTGGACTTGGCCAATCTGATCCTCCATTACAAGACATTTACCCATTAAGCCCATAATACTTGCAGCTTCAGCAAACTGCTAATTATTAACTACTCACATGAGCATGAGCGTTGTCAAGGTACAATCCATTACAAACATCTATTCCTATATAAATCCATACTATCCATCTCTACAATTTCTCTTCAAGAAAATAAATCAAACCCCTACACAATCCTACTATTGCCTTAGGAGATACTGTGATGTGAGGTGACTTTTGGGAAAGGGGAAATAGCCGAATCAGCGAATTTTTGTCTCCACATGGATGTATCTTTACATTACATTACATTACTCTACGAAGCTCAATACGAGTATATCCCATATCCTTTACCCAAGGTATTCCAGATTCAATAATAAATTGCAGACCTTATCTACAACAACTCCCCATCTCAATTACAATTACCATCAACACCAAGAACCTCCCTTAATGTTACGTTGTAACATTATAAACTATTATCACGTGTTATAGGATCACATGAATAGTCTTGTGAGGGAGCGAGGGAGCGAAGGAGCGAGATTCGAATCTCGCTCCCCAGCTCCATCGCTCCAATGTTGGAATACGAAGGTCTATATAATCAAGATGGATTCCCTTTGTATAGAGCTTGGTGCTCAAGATCAAGATCAATCATTTAGTATACTCTACTATTAGTTACGAATTGCATTATTGTCATTACTTTAAGTCCCCTGCTTGACGCCCTAGTTATAAACCATCCTCGAGAGCCTAGAGCACTTCCACGTGATCTAGACGGCAAACCTCGTAACACAAGATCGAAATTTATTTAGATTTTTTTGATATGATTTTGTATAGGTTTTATATTTGTATAAATGTTGATTCTCGATATTTATTTATTTTTAATATATATTTTTATATATAAATTAAAAATAATTTAATAAAATGATAATTGATTAAGTCTATTGAGAGAGAGTGTTACGAGGTTTGCCGTCTAGATCATGTGGAAGTGCTCTAGGCTCTCGAGGTGGTTTATAACTAGGCGTTAAGCATGTGACGCCTCACACCTCCGGGTCACGTGGCATGCCCCGTTTGTATTTAATCATAGGAAAACTCTCTACTCTTGTTTTCCTTCTTCTTTTCTCCTTAGCTTAGTATTTTCTAATACAAGATACTTTACCCAGTATTCTTGAGTGTGACAAAGCAGGGACTTAAGTAATGACAATGATGCAATTCGTAACTAATAGTAGAGTATACTAAATGATTGATCTTGAGCACAAAGCTCTACAGGAAGGAATTCATACTGAATATATAGATCCTCGTAATTCTTGGATCACTCAGGATCACTGGTGATCCAAGGTGATCCAGCATACCTGTTCATATGCTCTGATGGTGCGTGTATATGAGTTTTTAGGGTGACCGAAATCTCATATTAAATTGAGCGAATCGTAACAGATTTACATATGGCCCAAGCTTACGAAAACAAGTCAGCTGTTACCATCGTAACAGAGAGTAAATTAGAAAATAAAAAAGATAAATAAAAATTTTAAATTTGTATAAGTAATTAATCGTAATAAAAGTCCAATTTCAATATTAATCTCAGCATCTAATATTCTATAGGTAGATACCAAATATAAATCTATCTAGGTAATAAGATCCTACTTAGACACAGATCTATTCATTTAAGTTCTATATAAACAAGACAAGAGAGGCAATACCAGTATCATCCACCCGAATATCTCTATCTCTAATGCTCTTTACTAAACTCCAATTTTCCATTTTCCATTTTTTGAACCCATCTATCCTTTCTACAATCATTCCATACGAATAAAAAAAAGCATCCGTCCATCCATCCATCCATGGGTTAAGGGGTATATCCATCAAGCGCCATTTGCAAAAGCATATCAAAAATCCCCTTTCCTGTATACCCAGTGTGCATATCCACGTAACCCAAACGCCAATTTTTACAATTAATTCATGAATGAAAAAGGAAATGTCTATTAATAAACACCCATTCCAATTCCAATTCCAGTTTCCATTCAATTCCCACTTCCACCATCCAATGCTGATAAATCTTCATAATCGGGAATTGGTGGTCCATCATAGACTTCCGAGTTGACATAAGTAGGAGGACTGGCAGGAACATTCTCATATAAAGGAGGTTGTTCCTCATCCCATGAGATACCCAAACCTGATCTCTCGGTAACTGTCATTTTGAAATGCATTCTCAATACTCTTGCTCCTCCCGTTGGTGTTACTTGAGATGGTTTCTTGATCGGGGCGAATTCTTCAGAAACAATCATCTCAACGATGAGAGTATGGAAAACTTCAGTACCATCCTCAGATTTCATGTCGCAAATTGGTTTTACATCTGGACGAATAGAAATTGGGAATTCGATCTCAATGGCTCCATCTGCTGTGTCGTAATTTGATTTCCATCCGGATTTAATCTCCTCGGTAGCTAAGGTACGACAATCTTGGTGAGCGGCACCTTTTTTGCTCTCTCCCTCCTTTGTCACTTTGGCGGCATGTTTGGGACATGCTGGTGAGATAACTCTATGGGTTTCATCCAAACGCCATGTTAAACGTTTTAACTTCCAATGATTTTGTGTCTTTGCATCTGCATTTCGATTCACGACACCATCCATGCGCATTGAAATGTTTGATTCACCAATTGGGTAGATAACTGCAGGGAGTTGAGCATTTGCTGTCAAATTCGTTGGTGGAAAGATTCGCATTGAACTTCGAGGAATATCGGAAGGAATAATGGCGCGCTTAATGTTGAGAACGTGGGAGAGCTTCATCGGTTCGCCAGTCTTTGGTACAAGTGTGGCTTTGAGAACATATTCGATATTAGATAATGAACTCTTCATGCTCGCCGGTAGATGTCCGGGAAGGAGAAAGCTAAAAGGGAAATCATGTTCGCCTGAAGATTGTTAGAATCCTGAAACAAAAAAGTTGAAAATGAAGTAATATATACCTTTTCGAAGAGTAGCTGGACCTTGAAGGAAATTCCAAGTAGTTAAATCATTTGATTGATGAGCACACTCATTGCAATGCGCATGAAATGGTTTCTTTTGCGTAACCTCCAATGCCAATCGCATCTTGAATGACTCAATCGCAAACTTCTCATCATGAATGTGTAATTTTAATTGACCAGATAGTAATGCGCCGGTACTCGAAACTGTCGAACCATAGAGAACTAAGGGTGGTGACTCAATGGCACAATCAAGTGTTGCGCCATGATATATAGGAACTGCTTTCGAAGATGTCTTTGGTGAATGAAGACCAGGTATTGTGATACGTTTATGAGTGAGGGAAAGATCATGCATCTTTGTTCCTTTATCTTCTGTGATAGAAGAGGCTGCTGATGGTGTACGACTTTTAAGGGCTGGTCTACTGTTTGAATTCCTTCTTGGACCTTTCTTCCCTTCAGTTGGTAGGTCGAATGGGTGCGAATGAGATCGAAAGAAGGAAGTGACGTGCTGCATAGTAGTTGCCGGCATGGTGGGGGTTTTCTTTTTGGTGGCGTCTTTGACAGGGGAAATAAAGTTTTCAATGGCCTGCTTTCTGCACAACAGTATTAAAAACTGCTTCTAGTATTAAACTTTCATTCGTGTTGGAGGTGGTCAAGTGGAAGAGGCTTTCAAAAAGTAGATGAGGATTAAGAGGAATCGGTTGGGGGGTGGAAGGTGAAAGAGTCGGAAGTCTTTTTGGTGGTGTGATCGTTGTGAGGAAAATGAGGATGATGTAATGAATAAAGTATTTTAAGTATATAAATATACTCGATATAATATTAATTAATCCCTTTGTTAGAGTGAATAAACGATGAGATTATGTTGTATGGGGAGGGAGACAGGTATATTTGAGTGGGATGAGATGGCGAATGGAATATTATATTGAATATCAAATACCTTGATGGAGGTGGAAAGGATTTGAGCTATATAAAAATGATATTCAAGCCGCAAGGGAACCATCAGCCAAAGCTTGATATCATTGCATTTAGCAAGTGACACTATTCTAAATTCTTACCCATCTTCATTCTCCCCTTACCTCTAAAGGAATTTTATGTGTCAGAGGGATTTCTAGTGAACCAAAATGTGAAGTCTGTGATTGAAAATTTCCCTGGTTAAGGTTACTCACACTCCCAAAAAAAAATGCAATTTCCAAAAAATTTCAACCCCCGATGCCCCTCACATGGGAAAATTCATTTAATCCTTGTCTGTGGGAGGGTCCGTGTCCGCTGTGTCCGCTGTGTACGTTGTGCCTGGCCACATTTATTATGGGGGGGAATTCTATTTTATGTTTGGTCCAGCGTTTGTGTTTCAGCGGTTAAACATCGCATGAGTCGGAATGTTTGGACTAGAACCATTGCATTTCTACACCGTATAGCAAGTATCCAGTACCGTACTAGGCACGTAGGCAAAGAAGAAAATCTTTCCATGAGTGCATTAACTATACCTCGTGGCCTTTATATTTTATATTCATCGGTGAAGGTTTCAGTAGCTCCTTTAGAGTCATATGTGAGATCTACCTAGAACTCTGCATTGATTCAGATTGTCTGGAGAATTGGGATATACAGCAGGAGAACTACTGTGTACCGATACCCGATGCCGATGCCGCAACTTTACCTCCAAGCTCCAACCCTTTCTTTTTCTTTCCCTCCTGTTTGCCTGTAAGGAAGATTCCTTTTTCCTTTTTAAGGAGTAGTTTAGGTTAGGCATTCTCAACAGCTTCCTTGCTGAAAATTACGTTTAGCTTCTTCTGGGGTACGCCCTGTGGATCAGGTACATTCAACGTCAAAGTTTTTTTTTTCAAGCCAGTCATTCAAACAGCTGATGAAGAATTTGATTGATGACTGGTTGATGTGCGTGCCTGTATGGTTGAAGCACGTCAGCAAGTTTATCATCCTTTCTTTTTGGCCTGCATAGTACATACGAGTATTGGTTAGGTAGCCAGCTACTCGGTTGCTTGCAAGTTGAAAGTTGACACTCAAGGATCAAAGACCTGAGTTCCTATGCAGTATGTACTAGCGACAGTGATGTTGTCATTGATTACTTCCCAATCATATTTTCTCACCAATTATACCATATTGCGACTTTTCCAGGCGCAATGATGGAAATACAAGGGTGACTTGGAAGATCATTGAGGGATCTCATGCCAAGAGATTCTGATGGATGGAAAGATGTTGCGAACTTGCGCTAGAGATGAACGAGAGCCTTGAACTGTAGTGCTTATTTAAGTAAGTACTGGTGGATGACAACCTCCACGAACACAATACAGTAGACCAACCTCAATTCATGGGAGCATCGTGTTCGTTCAACCCAACGGAGTTATCCTTTCTAACTTTCTGATACTCGTGGCAATTCCAAAAGACCAATTTAGTACCAGTGACAACAATCACAACACGAAAAATACGAAGAACACGATGGTGATATCATGACATGATGATGATAGGGACTATTTAATGTGGACTTTCTAATATTCTTACTTCTTAGGACCATACCCGTATACAATCAGTCTACTTACTATGCACCGTGCAGTGTGTACAATGATCATCCATACTCCCTCAGGCCATAGGGCTCTAAGCTCACGCCATCGAATGAAATATGGAGAATCTAGAAGATCATTAAAATCACTTAACACATGCTTATTACTCGATCAAAACCGAGAATTTCATCAAAAATATCGGAGTGGGCCGAACTCGAACTCTGATTGATTGATCGATTGACGTTCTAAATTTGTAGTGTCTCTGTTGTCAAGATGATTCGCAATACAATATGCTTCTAGCCACCTACAAACGAAACATCATAGAATTACGCATGATACTATTCTCATGGTGCAATCAATTTCTACACATGCGAGGAAATGATACAATTGAAACAATACGGAGCGCGACTACTTAGGATTCTCTATTTATGAGTTTGTGACTCGTTTTGTTGTGGATGAATCAATAACCCCCACAGAATTGGGCGTTCAACATTTTACTTTCTCCTCGGAGTCAGTCAGTCAGTCATGTGCTCGACGCCTTCAAATATCATCCTTTATGTTGACCGACGGTCTCTGACAGTCTGACTTCATTTAATGCATGCGAGAATAACCGCAATATGGTAGAATTTTTCCAACTTACATTACCATGATACACCGGGAATCTCAAAAATCGGGAAACAGTTTCCAGATCCGGTTTGATGTGGCATAATAACCGAATAACCGCATAACCATGTGATTTCATCGAGTAAGAAAAATCACATTCGACCAAAACCTGGAACGAACCTCCGTCTTCCTTTGTGACTTCGTCTTCGTCTCTTTCTACGATTCCAGACCGATCCATCTCAGTTCTCCAATGGAACTCGGAAGGAAGTCCATCTAAAATCCCATTTGATCACATTCAATACCTATTACATAACGAGAAACCTTATTTAGTCAAATCCCTTCACCACTTTCAAGTTTCATGCCTCATCAACATTAAGAGTGGAAAAATCTTTGGAGACTCGGGAGGTTTGCAGTCAAATTCACGCGAGTCTCGATGGATGAGATCCACACATTCTTAAGTACCCACCGTTATTTCTCGGATCTTCCAAGCTTCAGGTTCCAGATGTTACTAAATTAGTACAGGAGGAGAAATTTTCAAAAGAATTTTTGGACTTCCCGTCGCTTCGCTCACGGTCCAACAGTCCAACGTCCATCAAAATCTGTTTTATACTCCACTCATATACCGCATGTACCCTCGATTATACTTTTCTAGTATTCTAGAAGTCTGATGTTGTGCGTACTAAGCATTCTACCGAGAAAAATCGTCTGCATGGCGTGACAAAATATTCCGATTGGATCATAAAGACACCTGGAGTCTAATGACTCAGGGGAAAAAAATTATGTATTCCCCGGTTCGGTCATCTTCAGATGAAATTTTCTTTGGCCAGCAGGGCAAAAAAAGGTTGGACCTTCCTCTTCCTCTCTGTTCTTTCACCGATCAAGCCCAATTCTGTGGATCATTACGCCTCCACAATTAAGCGGGAGAGCCGAAATAGGAGGTCTCACAAAAATCCAGATGATAAAAGCCTTGTTATTTTGCAAGTTTTTGTTGCACATCTCAAAATTTGAGGCCCATCATCACTATGGAAACGAACGGTGAATATGAAAAATTGGTTGTGGATTGTGGAGATTTCTTTTGTGTGCATGGTTGCAATTGACAGATCATAGTGAAACAAAGCCTGAGGTCCGAGCTGAAGCCTGGGTGTGTGTGGTTCTTTCAAGTTTCAACAGTGAACATGAATGATCACCACCCGTTGTGAATAATTTTCTTCAATGTAGGTGGAGATTATTGTGGGTTGGTAATTGGGTTTTATAGAGGGGTTCGAAAATTGAAATGGTTTAGATCAATTAATCTTGCTGGCATGTTGGAGATGACCGAGTGTGTCGTTGTCTTTCCCCACGAACAAGAGAGTCCAGATGGAACGGAGACAGTATTGAAGTCGATACTTTCCTGCAGCGAAGCTATAGCCATATACTGAGATTTTCGTTGGTTGAGCAGTAGTACTGTGTTTAGAAGCTGTAATGGCCTAAACCAACCACAACTTGATCAATTCATAACGAATAGAGTCAGTGGATTTTCAATCATGTTCGGGAAGGAAACAAAAGCAATAGGAATAATAGTTCCTTAAGATCATGTCGGCTAAATCACTAAAAATCTTTACCACTTCAAGTTGTCTTTAAATTCCTCCAGTTTTTCAAGCATCAACCTGTCACCAGTACCTCAATCTCTACCAAAACCTCAGCAACGTCACTTTACCAACCACCACATCTCCACCCACACTTTCCCACATCACATCCTCAATCCTAAACAATACCTCTCCTCCAAGAACGCACGCTCCCTCCTAATCATGTCATGATCTTCCCTTCCCATTTTCACACTAAGCCCTAAATCATTCAAAATCTTCTCGAACCCCACTACCAAATTTACCAAACCTCTCTCTGTCTGACCCACTCGAAAAAGTTACCTTAGTGCAAAAAAAAAAGAGAGAAAGTCCTCAGATCTTCAAAAATATATGTGATGGATGGACTGATGATATGTTTATGTGTTTCCCATCCAAAAATATGACAAAAGGATATCAAATCAGGATTTGATACATGATTTTGACCTACGCAGGGATCGAACCTGCAATCTCTTGATTCCAGCAACTCAGGGATATTTGATTCCTGCTAGTCGTAGTCAAGCGCCTTGCCATTGGGCCAGCAGGCCAAGTTGTTTTTGTTGGAACAGGGGGTGGGTTTGAGGTATATATTGGGAGTTTGAGAATGATGGAGTGTGTGGATTTGGGTTTGGATTTGGGTTTGATGATGAGAAGTTAGGGTTTCTGAGGGATGGAGTTTTGTAGGATTATAAGGAAATAGAAATATATGAATGTAAGTAAGTCTTTGCTTTGTTATATTACCTACCAACAGAAGAATCACCAAATGCGAATCTTACCATCACATCAACTTCTCTATAAATATATAAACAAAAAAAGAAAAATATATCTCAGTAGCACACTGCACTACAATATATCACGCGAATAAGATCTCCGTCATTAATACCTTATGGTATTGTAACAATACTCCAATTACAAAACTTCTTTATATATCAGCAAGAATATTAATATAAATAAAAAAACTGTTAAAAGAAATGACCTTACACAGGGAATAGTGGGAAGCTGATAGGGCAGAACTGAGGCTATATTGGCTTTTATGAAAATCACCTTTTATCTTAGTTCTACGGAAGTGCGAAGCTCTCCTACAGAGAGCTTCTCAATCTAGTCCTAATAGGACTAGTGCCCTGTGCATGTGCTACGCAGGAACCATTCACTTTAACAAAAACCTTGATATTATTTATATACTACCCCTACGAATCATCAGTCAATCTTTAACTATCTATATGTAACGATACTGTACTAAAGGCAGCGGCTGCCTAAGGTTCGCCGGTTGGTAGTTATGGGTTAAGGCTTTATCACTGGTATTCACTTGGAAGTGAATTCGTTACTAGATCAAGTAGAATGTAGGTAAACTAATTGATAACTAAGTTGAGCACAAAGCTCCTAAACTATGAAACTACTCTGACTATATAATGATCGAAGAAGGGAGCCCCCAGGAGCTTTGAGGGCTCCTTATCACGTGATTTCTGATGGTGCGTGCGCATACGATCTTAAGGTGACCAAGATCACATACTAATTCGATGAAATCTGATTGCTTTTGCACAAGGCCTAAGCTCTCCTAATTAATCAGTTTGCTACCATCGTAACACCATCAATCCTAATGGTGAATCATGACACAAACCTCGTAACACTTAATTTGAGAAATATTTAGTTTATCTTGTTCTAATGACTCAAATATATGAGATATTTGGATGCTGAATTTCATAGTATATCGAGATTGAATCTTTGAAACCCTCACAAGACAAAAAAGACTCTTGGCTCCTCTTTCATCATAAATCATAAATTTTTTGACTATCTATTCCATCTTGTAATTATTCCAGAGATGAACAAAAGTATACCATTAAGCTATGAATGATTGCCAATAAAGCTAATGAAATTATAGACATTGATGCGAATATGATACATAGCTTAATAGTTACACTTTAGACAAAATAATTGCTAATTAAATAATGCAGGATTTCTTTCAACATCTTCCTTCGAGAGCAATTCCTATCCATACCTATCTCTGCCTTTACGCGTATGCAGCCCAACCTATAGGTATTAATTAGCATTTGTTTAAAGAGATAAGCTCGCTACGATATATGAGAAGCATGGAGTGACACAAGAAAAATGCAGAACATACCTGAATACAAAACGGCAAGATTCCTCTCATCACTCGCTTGATTGATCAAATCATTGACTGTAGCCTCCACACTTAATGTTTTAGACAATTTCTTATTAACCACAGTCAAAGCTTTATCAGCCTCGCTCGGTTGATTGACAGCTTGCTTTTCACCAGCTCTCTCGTGTCCCATACGAAATTCCGGTGCAACGCTTTGCGCCACCTGCAGTTTTGCAAGTCGTACCGGTGATATAGACCAGCTGTACAATGGATCATATCGCAAAACATCAAGAATCGTCATAATACTATAGACTTCCTTACGTAAAGCAGAAAGAGTGAATTCACAACATCTTCGAAACACGCCTTCGGTTTTCGTAATGCCCATTCCGTCGACAATATCTCGAGTGAGGCGGAAAGGTACTAATTCAGGAACCGGAAGAACTCGACCCATTTCAAATGCCACACCAAGATCAATATGTACCACTTCACCGCTTTCAAAATCGAGAAGAATGTTGTGACCATGTCTATCACCTAATCCGAGGACGTGGCCTAGTATCGATATGGCAGCTGTGCTACGTGTGTATGCTAGACGTTTGGTAAACCATTCATCAGGATCGTTGAAGTGTTCTGTGAAGAAACAATGCATAACGGGATGAAAACGATCTGTGACCCATCTGAATTTCTTGATTCGTGTTTCAGTTGGCTGGCCTTGAACCTCCCCAATCTCTTTACGACATATAGTTCCTTTCAGGTCTTTTGGATAGAAGCGCTCGTGTGCTGGCATGAGATATTCATGCAAAGGGATTGTGCTTGGCACGAATTCGATGACTCCAGCTATAGAGGTCAATGGTAGGACTTTGTATGTCCTAATGCTGAGGTTTCTTTGTCGGGTAGCTCTATTCGTTTTCAACAATTCGCTGACTTGAGCGAATACCTGTTCCATGATGGCATCTTGGCGCAGATCATCATTACCACCTTTTACCTGTTATTCGTTAGCTGTAAACTTGCACCCACTATCTTGGATTCCTACCAATTGTTTAAACCGCGCCCCGTTATCCGCCACGGCAGTAATGATCTTCGGTGCACTTACTCCAGATGCTATACTCATCTGTGACTCGAATCTAACCATCTTTGGAACCTTGGAATAATTTTTGTCTGCACGAAGGTCTATTTGTATTGTTGGAGGAGGTATGGAGTACTTCCTCACAATATTGTTGAGTTTTAATCCAGCAGGGGAATCTTTAATCGAGAGCTTTTTACCAGTTTTGTACTTCTGCTCATCTTTCTCGCCTGCGAGCTGAGTATATGGCTGTATGACAAAACCCAAAGCAGCCCAGATTTCCCGTGAGTTCTCAGCCCTTTGGAGTTGCTCTGAAACCTTGAGAGTGGCTTTGTTCCTTGAGATAGCTATTTCATCTTTGGTATTTGGCCGACTGTGAGACCCAGCATATATCTGGTACATACCATGATATGGGTGATCCGTGCAGATTCGTAATACTAGGTTGAAGAGAAGCCGCTGGAATTTCGAATCATTGTCAAGCAAACGAGAACTGAGTTGGTTCATCAGCGTAGCGAATTTTCGACTAGGTACCTTGGGTAAAATTTTGGCGACAGCTTCATTGGCAAAATTCTCTGCAGAATGTTCAAGCCAAAGTGCTGTAAACCGTAGCGCATTGCTATCATGGTTATCCGAAGCAGCTAAAGCGAGAAGATAATTCTCCAAGCATTGGCGCAAAAACTCATCTCTGTTGGAGCAGTGGCGACGATATTCTCGCTCGTCTAGTCCGAGCCATGTCTTGGCCTTCTTTAAATAATTATTATGCCTTGCTTTCTCTGTTGATGATGTTGCCTTCCTCAGAAGTTCTTCGTAGTCAGCGACATCACTGGATCTCATCTCGCTTAACTTCTTCATTCGCTCCAAATCTTTCAAACTATCAGGGTCCTGTAGTTGTTGATCACAAAACACAGCGAATTGATGGAAGACTTTCGCAGCTTCATGACCGTCGGACGTTTTTAAGTCCTTGAGGGCAGGTTTTAGATATTTTTCAATGATACGATCAGGCTTCTCTAGTCTGGCTTCGGAGACTTGGTGACCAATCTTAGATAGCAGATCGGGACGACCAACAGAAATAGTTTGTGCTTTTAAGGAGGATGTATTGTCCAAGGCCCGTAATATGCCTATCGAAGACGTCATTTCACCTTGCTCCCACAATGCATCTGCGGTCTCCATATGAACCGCAGCTTCAATTTCCATACCTAGGGATTGGCAGGGTTTGATAAGATCGATTAATGAAGTTGTCAGAGATAATGATTCTTGCAGGGCACCATGAGCACGATTCAGCGACGAAGAGATGAGTGCAACATGTACCTCAACTAGTCTTGTATCTTTAGGAGAGAGGTTGAGTATGTCTCTAAGGCGTGGTTGCTGGCTTAAGGTACTTAAAGTTGTTCCCCGACAAGAAATCATCTGGCTAATGTCATCAAATCTAATTTCATATTAGCTATGATTATGGTAAAATGTGTCAAGTACCTACCTCCCGGTCTTCATCCATTCAGAGCGATTTCGAAATCTTGACAGGACCTCTTCTAATTCTCCGGACCCATGAGAGCTTAGAACTTCATCCATTTCGGAAAGAGCCGCCAATGTTCTAAGCGATTCGTGAAGGGCACTGGCGCTAAGGTCATCTCGCACGAGGCGTTCCATTGTGCCCTCAAGTCCTTTATCTATTGCTTTCATGAGTGTTCCGCGGTTTGTAGCAACATGAGCTGCTTGGAAAGCTTTGTAGATTGTTACTGAGTGATTGTCGCTAGCAGGAACTGGAATGTCCCATTGCTCCAGTTTACGGGCGGTACGAAACATAGAATCTAAGGACGTACCGGCTACTCCAGAACTCTGTTGTGCTTGCAGTAGCGAGAGCGAAAGACCACTCAGGCTAAGCATATCTAGAGCCTTAACAAGAGATTGCGCGTCCTGAACGGCTCTAGGGTCTTGCTGCTTGATATGGCTATCATATTGTGCACCTCTGAAAGCGAGACTTTTGGGCCCATCTTTCTCATATTCTAGCCTTGCCAATATCGTGCTTAAGCTGGCTGTCTGTTGCACCCCATAATATAGATCTGGGTCATCAATGTTCTCAAAAATTGCGAGAAGCAAATCTGACGGAAGTTCGGGAGCTTCACCTCCATCTTTCATCGTTAAAGAACGTCGAGATGATTTGACTGGGATCGACTGATGTTCTTCAACAAATATCAAAGCCGTTTTAAACATTCCACAATGTATGGCAGCTGTAGCGACTTTGAGGTAGTCGAGATCTAGCCAATGCAAACGGTCTGCCGAGGATTTCTCGTGGGGTAAGGGTTGAGTACGTAAATATAGAATCGAGTTGATCAGAGTTTTCAGGTTGTTCTTATCGACGGCTTGACTTTCGGAAAACCACGCCGCGAATGCATTAGAGATTTGATTGCGGCTATTTTTCTGTGCTGGTAAATCCGTCGAGAGTACGAGGTGGAGAATGAACGGGAATGCTTGATCAGCAAACTCTGGTACATCCCTAAGGACAGGGGCTAGGGCGCAGAGTATGGGATCTTTAGGGACAGCTCTGACCAATGCAATCGAGAGGTTTTGTAGCCAATTAGGAGAAAGGATGGAGGTTGTCTCTAGATGAGTCCCTAAACTATTCATATCATTCGAGGGTTCCGCGATCTCACATGGCGGAACGGGATAAGGATTCCACGCTGACGCTTCGAACACTGGTGGCGGTAGACTTTGGCGACTAATTTCCAAAATCTGCTGGTCTGAAGTTGTAACAATGATACGTAAAGTTGTTTCAGCAATTCCCGCTGCTGAACTATCATCCCCCAAAAGTATCGATTGAAGAATACTCAATATGCATGCCCGTGATGGAAGATTAACTTCGGATGATGTCTTAAGTTCCTTCATCTTCGATAATGTTGATTCTTGCAGAAGTTCGTGGTGCACGTGCCCAGTAGCCGCAAAGGCTCTTCCGAGTACGCGCGCGGCCCAAGACATGTATTGTTTATTCGACGAATTTCCTCTGCAAGACTTCCACACGACAGCAGCTCTTGCTTCTGCGGCTGCATCTTCGCCGTATATATCGGTCCTGAAAGAAGTAGGGCATTCAAACTCGGAGCACAGCATACTAAGTGCAAGTTTTCGAGCAGGTAGAGTCAGTAAAGTGCCCCCATTCTTCTCATCCTCCAGTAGCCGATCAAGTAATGTGCTCTCTATTGTTCCCTTCTCAGCGTTTCCGATTGCTCGGACCTCTTGAGCAGAGGCCACGAGAGATTTAAAACTTGAACTCAAAGGCCCCGCCAAAGCGGGAGAGTCATACCTGGAGGCATACTTCCCAACCCAAAGATGAAATTTCTGGGCCTTGGACATTGTAGCTTGATGTTGACTCTCCTGAGTTGTGCTCGATCTACGCTCCTGCATGAATACACGTAGAGAACCAAGTATCGAAAGGGTAATGCTTGCGACGAAAGATGGTGACAGCTTTAGGTATTCTGAGCCCTGGATTAATAGATATTGCAAAATACCAATGGCATCATCTGCACATTCAGGATCCTTGATGTAAGGCCTTATAGATCGAAGAAGCATTTCCAAAGGATAACCTTGAGTCGCAGCATTTCCAGCAAGCGAGATTAAAACACGAAGTTTTCGCAGTACAGAGCAAGCATGCAGCGACCCAAGTGCAGGATGGATAGTCCTAAGTAATTTTCTAGCAATGAAAGCTACTAAGCTTGGAGTGTATAGATCACCTGCCTCATGCAGTGTCCTTGTACACAAATGTTTGATTTCATGTAGGAGATACTTTGCTTTGAATGCAGGTTGCTGACCTGGGGGCAAGGTAATCTCAGACGAGCTCAGAGATTTGATTTCTACCATGATTTTGGCGGCATATACTAAGTTCTCATCCTTGGCAAATGAATTTTCGACATGTTGCTCCTGGTCTATGACATTAAACAAGGTAGCAAGTATGTCTGTAAAATGCAGATTGACACATTCTAAGAACAATTCTTTGCCGAGGCGATTTTTCAGCCGGGCCTCACCACTTATACGTTTCTTGTCGCTCGACGGGGGTATGCTTATATTGTTTGCAATACAATATGCCATGGCCTTCGAAAAACATGTCTGAAGTAATTGAGTTGCGGGAACATTTAACAGCTCAGCGAGGTGGTCAAGTTGGGCCTCATAACCCCGCATCATTATGATGGCGCAAGTCTCTTCCTGTGCGAATACCAGTAAATCACGAAGAGCGGCGAAGCCAAAGATTTGGTACGGTATATCGTCCATTGCCTCTACCTCAAGCCAAGTGTAGAGAATTTGAGGCGCAAACAATGCGAACAGCTCCTGTGGACTTGCTACTGCGAGCGCAGAAGCAACATAGGACAAGCACCAAGTGGCATGTCGCACAGCACCCGAAATTCTACCCGGAGTTTCGAAAATATGGTAAATACATCTTCGCAGAAGAGTTGACCAACGAGAAGCTAACTTTGCCAGGACATAAAGTCGAAACGCGATGCCTTCCACGATCTCTGGCGCAGAAGGTAAAAGGTCAAGCACATCTACGAATATTTTGTCATGCTCTTTCAGCGTCAAAAGCTCAAATATTTCCGAGATCTGATCACCAATGAAGAACTTCGTGGAAGTATTACCTTTTTCTAGAAGCTTTAATAGACTGGTACGCGGCGATGGCTGAGGAGGGGCATTCCCATAATTCTGATTTGCTCGCAAAAGTTGTAGCAGCATATTAACAATTCCTAGCTGGACGACTGTAGAGTCGGAGCTCCTCTCAATTCGTAAAATAAACCAATCATAGAGTTGCTTAGCATGTTTCACGAAAGAGTTTTGTTCTTCCATTGACCAGAAAGGCAAAAGTCCTATCATCACGTCCAAGCATGCGCACATGGCAATTTCGCTGGCAAGAAAATCGTCTGATGAAAGTACATGCCCAACACGCTCGAAAAGGTGATAGGCATCAGTTTCTACAAGAACAAGATCGGATTGAAGTACATCGCGTATGAGTGATCGACACGAGAGTATCTCTTCATCCTTCATGGAGACCAGCGCATCGATAAAAGAAGTTGGCACCGTGCAACTTTCTGGGGACTCGTTCATGTCAGAGACCAGCATTAGTCTGCCTATTGTATCTATAAAAAATGATGAAGAACTCATTTCCAATCCCATGGCTCGCCTGGGGACATTCAAGTTTTGCGCTTCCTTTGCTGACTGGCTTCTCTGGGTGGGAAAGTCGTCATCAATATCCATGGGATCATCATTGGCTACTGAGCTTGACTCTTGATCTAAACGACGACGCTTGACGTCTTCCGAGATAAGGCTCAAAAACTGCAGCAATTGAGGGTTTTGCTCCGCGACGTGCTTGAATTGAGTGGAATCGCAAGGAGGGAGGTGAGGCTGGATTGTTTGCAAAAGAGTATGTACAAACTCGTCGGTGGCCTGGAAATCTTTGGCATCTGATCTTCTCAAGAATTCCAGTAACTCATCGCCCAAGCCTCGAAGGTCTTCCCTTAAAATAGGTAACTGCTCTAGATCGGCATCATCAAAATGCGGTAATAGTTCAAGACTAATGATGCATGCATTCAATGAGCCTCGATACATGTCAGTTGAGACCTGTGGAGAACGTTCTGCATTGAAGCTTCTCCAAATTTGTAGAAGCTCGCTACATTTGGATGCCAGAAATTCGATGATCAATCTCCTAGCAGAACTGAAGTGAGCACTATCTAATTTGAAGACAACATCATTATCAGTGGTAGATTTCGGGCAGTATCGGCACGCAAAATCTGTCTCGGCTGGTGCACTGCCGTCAAGTAGCAAAAGAAAACGAAGAACCTTTTCCCTGTCCAAGTATTGTTGCCATGCTTGAAAGAGTGCACCCCCTATAGGACGGCCGTTTGAGTATACAGGCAAACTCGGCAGGCCAAGACTCGTTCGTAACAATGCAACGAAGTTAAAAGGGTGTAGATGTTTCCCATACTGAGCAATGAATAACCTTTCGGCTTAAGATGTGTTAGTCTCGATCAAGAGATAGCCAGTGACATTCGCACCTGGATTCCATCTTCCAAAAAGCCAACAAATCACATGCTGGCAGGCTGCCAGGCTCGCACCAGGTGCTTCGCTAACTTTAACCTGTAGTAAGTGATTGACTAGGAAAATCGACGATTCGCAAAGGACTGGCGGGCCACTAATATCCGCTGTGGTGATGATGGCATTCACACTGTCTTCAATATCACGATAATCTACCAGGTGTTTGGCGTGAATTGCATGAAGTGCTAGAGCAGCAGCGCGGCAAGTCCCCGCAAAAGTGAGCGATTTAGCTCCGTTATGCCAGAGCTGTTTCCAATTTATTGAAGACTCGTCTGCAGAACATACCTGATATGTACAACTGTGTTCCATTGTCAGCTAGTTATAGCAGATTAGTTCTAACACAGTACTCACCTTGCTATACCAAGTAAAGCCCATGATGCAATGTTACCACGCTTGTCTAAAGCACAATTACCCAAATGAACCAGTAACTCTTTTAGAAAAGAAGGCTGGAGTTTATAATCTTGCAGTAAGAATGGAATCAGTTGCAGACCAGCTAACAGAATCTTCTGATCGCCAGACTTAAGAGGATCGAGTAATCCTTCAGATGACCACGAAATGCGTTGTCGCTTTCGTGGATGATTATCTGAGTCATGTGAATCATCTGAATCACTTCCCACTTTTGGCTTCACTTGATGTATGTGCTCGTTGACTCTCACTAATCGTTCTAGGATGGCCATGGCGAGTAGGTTTGCCCAATTACGCTCAGCAGCCGTGCCAGCCGTACGATTGTTGTGAGATTTGAGTCGGAAACAATGTAGACGGAACGGATCGCGGCTCATCTTTCGGGAACTTAGATCCAAAATCTCCACATCATCTAACTGGAGCTGATCACTGTTTTCTCGCCTAGAAATAATCTGCCCTCAAGGCATCAAGTAAATCGTTTAGATTACTCTCCAACTCGACATCCTCATTGCTCATAATATTGCTCTCCAGGTGCAGGTGTATATGGTACAAACTAATCAGCATCTCATCTCGCACTGAGTTAATTTTTTCGTCCTTGTGCAATGATTTACCTTGCCAAAGCCGACATATTAAAGGAACCAACCCCCGGCCGATTGAAAACGAAAATGAGGTATATTCTTCAGCAAAAGATGACAAAATGATATTAAGGACAGAGAATGCTAAACGATGTAGCGTGCTTACATTCGATTTCAGGTACTGAAGCAAGCGCATCATCACGGTGCCCACTCGCTCAAGAGTTGAGAATGAATGATCGTTGGTAGTAGAAAGAAGTGGAATGAGGATTTGACAAAGGGCTTCTACATCATGTTCAGACACTGAGTTTGACCTCTTTGGAATACTTCCCAGCTCGGAGAAGGTTTTAGGTAGTGAGGGATGGCTAATCCGCTTGTCAGACCCCAACAGGTCTTCGTCAGTGTCTCCCAGGTACAACTCAATACCATTGATGGAAAATTCTATAAGTTCAGTTCGAACATCCTTGACACCTGCTGCATTCGCTGGTCTCTCGAGCAGGTAGCTCAAAGTCTTAAGATAATTATTTACTATCGGCTGAAAATAGTCTCCAGTTGATGTAGGAATCGTGTCAATAATGTGAATTATCAGAGCATTCACGGTCCTCTTCTTGAACTTGTATATTCCAGCCTCCACAATGGAACATATGGCCTTGGTAGACTGTTCTAGCTTCGTGGTCGACTTCACAGCTGTTGGCTTTCTTGGCTTTCCATCTGTGGACCTATTTGACTTTGTAGGAAGTAGATGTTTTCGTTTTTCCTCGATGACAATTTCGAAGAGGATCTCGAAAAATTCGTGGCACTTAGCGTCTGTAGGTCGATCGTTCCTGGTGTCTAAATTAGTCCAAAACTTTCAAATGGGATGAATATCTGACATACACATCATCGGACTTAAGGATACCATGGAAGATGTTAGGTAAATCTAGTCCTTGCCAGTTAGCAAATGTAAATCTGTCAAGCAGATTCATGATCTAGGTAGATTTACCTTTCAGATAATCTTTGAAAAAGTCCGCCTTTCTAGTCTTGAGAACATCTGGGATTTGTTTAACTTGTGCGTTGGGAATTGCCAGTCAAGAATTTTAATTACCAATAACCTGATCTAAAAGTTTCTTTCTACGGTCTGCATATGGATGCGACATATTAAAAGACTGCGATCACAAAGATTCGACGCATTCCCTAAGTCGGAGCTCACACATTCGTTATGGATATGAGATGTACCGCCGGCCTTGCGATTTCTGGTAATATGAGAGAAGCTCCAAAGTCCGCCAGGGTTCAGTACAAATGCAATCAAAAATTACCTAGGTGGGTCTGGCAGTTTAGATACTTTCGCATTTATGAGGTTCGCAGAAGTCAGCAGTATCATCTAAAACTGTGATATTGTGAAGTTGTGAGTGGTTTGGTCGATGCTTAATTATTTAAGTGGTTGACCCTCCGCGACGCGATTTTTCGTGTGCATGACAGCTTCAAAAATAACATCGCTTGTTTGCTCCATCAAATAATTTTTTATACGATCACAGAGAGCACAAACTACCACTTACAGCATCTGCGACAGAGAAACCATTACGACTTGCCATGAAAGGAATACGAATATACCCTTTTAAACTTTTATGAGTTCTGTGCCAGATCAATTCCCTGTGTCAAAAGCTTCGGCGCATCCTTCTCAAATCATGGCAGAGCAGTCTAGTAGCTTGAATGAAATCCAAGCCTTGCATTCGGACCTCCTTGCACTATCAAATTCTCGTCTTTCGAACCTCGAACGATTAGCGATTGAACTCGATGCTCATATCGCAGCTTTTCGTAACCTTTTGAACCACAAGAGCCGGAATGAGCAAAGTCGGAAGAGTATCGAGGAGGGTGTGTACTTTCCTTTGACCTCGAATCAAGCATGAAGGATCAAAATTAATATGAATATAATAGGGAAAGTTGAGCGAGATGGACAGATGTATAAGATCAACGACGACTTTAAGCAGGGAACATATCAACTGGCGGACGAATTGAATCTTGATGAGTTCGAGGCATCCCAAATCTTCTTCGACGCACAAGACGATGCCGATGCGACAGGGCGCTCAATTTTATCCTGCTCTATAATCCGCTTCCATCAGCGACGAAAGCTCTTGTTGGATTGTTTGCGGCTTACACTTCAGCAAAACGCCGAGTTAGAGAGCGACTCGGAGCAGGAGAGGGAATTGAAGGCTTACCTGGAACATATCATCACGGAGTCGACCCGTAGTGAACCTACAACCACAACTAAAAATGGAGCTGCAACTTCAATCAAAACAAGCAATGCGCCAACATTTATTTCAAGATGCATTTCTACTATGGGTGATATCAGGCATTGGCTCCAGAAGATTTCGGACAAAGTTAGCAGTTTATCTGTATTGGGACAACCATCGCAACCGGATCTTTTAGAAATCATGGAGTATCAGCGCCACAGTCTGGTCAAACAACATGAGTTACTCGGCGTTATAATACTCTATTTGATAAAAGCAAACCATTCTGTCGAGGGAGATTTCGAGCTGCTCTTGGGGATTTTGAAGAAAGCGGATAAGTATGATAATCTTCTGGGTAAGCCTTCTCCATATTTGGAAATTGGATCAACCTACTATGGAATATCTTCAGTTTTGCGGCAACACGGTTTTTGACTAACAAATTATTACAGTGCATCATTTTCCCGCTTTGGCTGCTTATATTTGGCGTTATGGTTCTCCAGAAGGTGGGTCGACGATACAAGATGCAAGAGCGCTGGATAAGAAGATCAGCGTAAAAACCGACCAGAATGCATGGGTGTTACCTTATGCTCATGCCGCATTCCGAGCATGGTGGTTGGCGGAGTATAGTGGATGGTATGTGGAACACCATGACGGACTACCACATGGCATTAATCTCGAAGATGGTGAGCTAAAATTCATGCATTTTTCAGTCTCTAAGTCACTAATCAAATATCAGAGGCCAAGCAGCGTTCTCAGCAGTTTAATGAGGCTCTTAAGGATGGGGCTTTTGATTTTATGCTGTCTCTTTCTGCTGATGTCAAAGCCGCAACTTGGTCCGAACCGTCACGCCAAGGTTTTCGGTTATGGCTACAGAGAAAGGCACCTCAGCTGTTGTCTGATTCTGTATCTTTCTCAGATTTTTTTGAAAATCAATTTATGGAGCAATTACAGACATTCATCGAAAGTTTCATAACGAATCTACCAGACGTATTGAGGAGGTTGAGAATAGATGAGGATGAGCAACGTCAACTCAGTCATGAGCATGAGCACGATCTAGATCTGGAGCGATTCATAGTTATCATTTCTTATGCCTTTGACGGCCGCCCAAAGGCTGCTTTGGAAGGATTTTGGGACGTCCCAGATGGTGTTTTAATCGGTTTCATGTATTGGGCTTCCCGACGTGCATCGACCCCGCTGGTTTCGGCATTTTGTGAAATGCTCCAGGCTATCTCAGGTGATGATGAGTGTGCCACTGCTGCACACGAATTTTTGCTCGACGAAAGTCCTCAGGCCGGAAAAATGAAGCGTGCTCATGCCCTCACATGGAATCAAATTTTTAAAGAGCTAACATTTTTCACAAATAAACTTCGAGATCAACCGGTACCACAAGCTCAAGCATATCGTCATGGGAAGCCAAACCATGATCAAGCAGAATTAGAGCCAGAATCTTACATCATGCTGGAGTCCTATCTCCGCCTCATATCTCAGCTCTGTTCGCATAGTGCAGTTGCCAGACAATTTTTGATGCAGCATCCATCATATCAACTCACAGACCTGCTCTTCCAACTTGCGTCTAGTTCCATTCCACCTCGATTTAGAGCCGGTGCTTTCACGGCACTACGTTCTTTGCTAAGTAACAAAACGAAGGCAGCAGGCGAGTACTTGTGGACTGCTCTCGATATATGGACTTCTGGTGGATATGTCCATAATCCCAGCACTCAAAGAAACACAGCCCCACCATCTTATGCACCTGACGCAATTCTCCGGAAGTTTGCTACGGGCTTTGAAGAACCGGACGCGTTTATTCTGCTACTCCATGCCCTTGTATTACCTTACGAAGAAGATAGTGCTTTGCGAGATGGCTTACCATTCCCCGAACTCCTCGGAGCTTCCAGTCGCATGCCTGGAATAGATCCCTACGTTGATTTCGCAGTCGGCCAAGTTTTTGGATCAAGAATGAGTGAAATAACGGATCCTATCCAGTTGAGACTGCTGCAGCTGACTTGTCTTACTTTTATCACGACTTGCTTGGAAAGTTTCAACGAAGATCTCGTGATATTTGCAAATCGTTCTAACGTCTCAGTTGACACTGCTATAAAAACGTCCGATCTGCAAACTTACGTTTTATTGCATCCGTTTTCTAGGGTAATGGAGTGGATGTACAACTCTAGCGTGATGGATGCTATATTTGCTGCAATTCCATCAAGGACGTTTAGGCGAAGTCGTCAGTGCTGCTCCTGATACACCATCAATTATGTGTCTTCTCCCAAGGGATACGTGCAGTTACGTTGATTATGGACCTGCAGCCAACTTACCGGGACATCGTCCGACCTCTAATAAAGCGAGAGGCAAGTCATCGCCGCACCCCGGTTCCAAATGCCGCCTACGCATCTTTCGAGGATGGAGTACTGAATCACTTGACTATCATTCCTGATTTGGGCTTATACTGTAGCTCTGGCAACCCTGAATTGGTCATGGCATCCCTAAAACTACTCGAGAAGCTTTCTGCATCACCACAGCTTGCTGCTGCCCCTAAGGCAGGTAGCAGAAGGATTGATCGTAATAAGGCAATTGCTGCGTTGGAGGAAAATAATGCAGCGGAGGCTATCTCACGCTCACTCCTACAAGAGATAGAAGCCAGCATTGACGAAGCCCAAGGCCCTGCATCCGATTCGTATATTATTAAAGTCCAAATATTGGATTTCCTCATCGCCTGTCTCGAGGCCTGCCCAGGGCAAACTACAATAGCCCACCTCCTTCTCGGGTTCCAGTGTAGAAACGATCATTTAGAGGTCGATGTGGATTCTCTTTTCAGCCGTAGAATTTCGCTATTTCATTCGATCTTGACCTTGACTAACGATATATCTTTCGAGGGTGGGGATAGCGTGTCCTCATGGCTAGTCTCTTTGAGATACAAGTGCCTACGACTACTTAAGCAGCTATGGCACTCTCCCATTTCATCCAGTCTTGTTATGATAGAGATGCGGTCCAACAATTCATTTTTCGAATTGTTTATCAGACAAACTCTAATTAGGCCGGGGTTGTTATGGGATGACCGAGATCTCGCAGATCCAGAATTCTTGGATTCAACTTCCGCCTCCTGCCTTTCAAACTTTTTAAATCAACGGGCTATTGTCTTGCAATACACATCTGCTGAGTTACGCCGGATAGCACTCAGTCATTTGCCTTCTTTAAAGGAGCGGATGTTCAATACATTACTTGGATCGACAATGGTGGAAGAGAACCAACAAATTGACAATTGTTCCGTTTTTGACCTTTTCGACTTCATGGATATTCCTTTGGATCAATCAATAGCCCTTGGCTCATTATCTTGGCTCAAGGATATTGATATTAGCGTCTGTGAGGAAGTCCATAACGATTCACCTCCATTGTGCAACATGGTGAAACTCGAAGAGCTTCTGACTTTACGAAGATCTGAGCTCGCTGCTACGAAGAGACTTGAAAACCCTCAAGACGTGACTACATTCAAAAATGAAGCCCAGCTCATGTTTAACTACTACTTCATCGATAACAAGTTAAAGGAACTCCAAGCAGCTCGACATAAGGCGCTACAGTCTTGGGTTCAGTTATTACTCGTGATGGTAGAGACCATGGCTTACGACGAGTCGACCAAAATAGTATTTGTGTTGCAGACTCTGCAAATAATCCTACCCAGGCTGGAAAACTGCCTTGAAAATGCAGCTGACGCATTTGAGCTAGCCAAACTCACTAAAGCCCTCTTGTTTAGTCTCAACCTGGATTCTGACGCTTTCAAGGAAGGTGACTTGGGACAAAATCTAAGTGACAAACTCTTTCATGTGTTCGAATTGTCACTTAGAGCTATCAATGCCGTCGGTGCCAACGGTCCTCTGAAAGAGCTTTTCTATACCATCAGCTATCACTATCTTACAGGAACGTCGGAATCCGAGATTCACGTTAGTTCTGAGATAGATAACCCAAATAACCTCGACGGCGGTTCCAATCGTGCCCGCCCAGGCGATCGCGCTCCAGCTTCAGCTCCTTCTCGTCCCGGATTACGCAAACCACATAGCACACAGACAGTCAAATTGGCAGGCGATCGAGTAATAGACATAGTTTGCGACGATGTCTTGGTTGGCGAGCAAAATTGTCGAATTGCGGCATTGCTACTCCTCGGCGCCTTGGTGAAAAATTCCAAACAAGAAAACTCCAATTACATTATTGAGTCTCTTAATCGCCTTAATTTTATAAGTATCCTTGTACACTCCATTGGAGACTTGGGAAATGCTTTACAAGAGACATCGCGCGAAGGTAAGAATGTATCCTAGGTCGGAGATGAATACAACTAATTTGATGTAGATGCAGCTATAATACTATCCGACTTCTATGCGAGATTGGCACTCCTCGTTCACATATCGCAAACTCGCGCCGGAGCTACCGCTGTACTTAACTCCGGCCTGTTTCACTCTATTTTAGTTTCAGGGCTGTTTTCCATAGATACCGACCTTGAGATTGGTAAGTCGTTGTAAGTAGATTCTACGCACATGCTAATTGATTTAGATTTCAATGACTCGGAGGCTGTTAGCAGACATTACAGCTTACTTGCAGCAATAATGAGAGTAATCTGTTGTGCTCTTGTGAGTCGAGGCCTACAAAATGAGCAGAGTTTGGACCAAGGGAGAAGATTTCTCGCCGACAACAGAGCTGCCATCCTAGCTGTACTTAAAAAGTCTGCTGGACTTGGAACTGGTAATGACTCCGCAGAGCAAAGCATTGTTGATATATCGGACTCATTCATGTTACTCATGACTATAACTCGTTTTGTCGATGTAAGTGATGTGCCCTCTAATAGCTTAGCTTAGTTCGACTTCTAACAGCATTTTTAGTTTGAGGAGATAACTATTCAGAAACGGCCTACTCTGAGATCATTTACTTGAGAGGATGAGTTTGGATTAGATATTTTGTGTATTAAATAGGCGTGGATGATCAAATAGGAACTACCCATTATAATGCCTAATCCAAAAATAAAAATGAACTGGATGCTCATGCATAGAGTTTAGAATGCTTGGACGACTTCCTAGCGGTATCATGATTTCATAAATGCTATATTAGTCCTCGAGTGCCCTCCCTATACTTCATCATAAGATCTTATATATTATTAATCTTTCAACAGATAGCTGGCCATGACGTACTTGCAAGTTTCGCTCTATTCGTACAACATCACAACATTTATATCACGTGTACGGCTATTTTCTATTCTTTAGCTTTTCCAGCAGTAAAAGGATAGTGGCAGACAATCGTATTGACGTAACATTGATTTAAATAAAGTCGACGCCGAGCTTCGAATTTATCAAACCTCTCTCCCTTTTAGACTTCATCCCACCGTTTCGTTAATGCGGGCACCATAGATAGCTCTTATCGCCGTTATCGCCTATCGTCTTCCCTGAACAGCACTAATAATCTACGTACCGATCCATAGTCGCGTCTTCCGCAGTTAAGCTACATACTAGTACTTCCGTTCCCGTTGCAACCTTTCCCATTTCAATTTCCCCTCCATGTAACATTCACAGGAGTATCAAGTACAAGCAGGAGAAACAAAAAGAAAAGGAAAGAGGAAAAATATATCCGTCTCGAATGTACCGTCACCATTAATGTTGTGATCCGACACGTAGAAAAAGCTGCATCAGGAGTTACAGCATAATCTCCAATCCAGCGAGCGTCCCGAGCTTGCAGCCACACTAAGGTCGACCCCTCACATCGAGACGGAAGGCGAGACCATATTATTGTGTCCTGTTCAGATCGATGTGGCATTCACACGATCGTGCAGTTGACCTCTCCTCGACATCCTCCAAATCACCTATCAAAAGAAAGCATCGCGATCCTCAAGGTTCAAATAGCAACTCAAGCAATACATCCTCCGGTTCGTCCAAGGTTGATAGCCATTCTTCGAAAAAGCTAAAGACGCTACCATCATCGACAAGTCCCGGTCTACGGCCCAATATGAACAAGACGATGGGGGTTTCGCGCCCCGCTATAATAGATTTAACAAGACCATCGAATTTTCAACCACATACTGGAGCGAAGAGATTAGTGATTAAGAACCTAAGGGTAACTTCTCCGAGCGATAAGGAGGAGTATTTCAGGAAGACTTGGAACGAGCTAGATGATGCTTTGGATTCGGTTTTTAATAATAAACAGCCAGTATCACCATTGGAAGTCCTGTAAGCTAATTCGTTCTCTTGTATCATGCTGCCCAACCGTTTCGATGTTCCTCTATTTCTGCATCGACAATTTTCTTTTATGGCTCTTTATCATGAGAGTTTCTTTTCTATCCACCTTTATTATGTTACATCGTTTCTCATAGGCAGTTACTGATGCACCAATGTTGCAGGTGTCGTGGAGTCGAATCAATTTGTCGGCGTGGAAAGGAAAAGGCAGATGAGCTATACAGGCATCTAGAAAACCGTTGCCACACACATATCAAGGATAATCTTTTGCCAGCTATTTCACGCAATGGAGATTCTAGCACGGTGGAAACTCTGCGGACAGTGGAGAGAGTATGGGGAATTTGGAGAACTCAATTGGTAGGATATAGTTGCATTTGTACCAATCTAGGAAAGACTACTAACAATAGAATCAGGTTCTGTTAAGATCCATATTCAGCTATCTTGATAGGGCATATCTGCTAAACTCGAAAACACTTCCGCAGCTTGAAGATATGGGCATACGGCAATTCCGCGAAGTGGTATTTTTGAAGGGAAGGGATGTTAGCAAGACAGGAACACAGGTCATATTGGGAATATGCGAGCTTGTGCATTATGATAGAGAGAGCTTGGATTTATTCGACTCAGTCCTTCTCCGAGCTTCCATTGCTACAATTCACATTCTTGGTGTATACACAAGTCTCTTCGAGAAACAGTTCCAGAAGATTTCTTCAGCCTACCTCGAACAATTTGCATCAGAACGGAGCTCCTCGCCACTAAAAGACTATATATCTTCCTGCGATAATCTGTTACAACGAGAAAGTCTCCGTTGTGATACATATAATTTCGACAGTACTACCAAGAAGACTTTGCTTGATACCGCGCACGACATTTTGATCAAAAAGCGTGCTGATGTTCTGTTGGAGACGGTAGCTGTTTCGAAGCTTCTTGAAGATGAAGTAATGGCATCGCTTAAATCTTTGTATCAGCTTTTGAGACTTTCGGGAATTCAGGATCAGCTAAAGGCACCTTTCGCCAATCACGTTAAAGTTTTCGGGTCATCTATTGCAATGGACAAGGAAAGGGGTGATGAAATGGTTGTCCGTTTACTCGAGCTGAAACGGTCACTGGACGTCATCATCCGCGATGCCTTCAACAAAGATTCAGTGTTTACTTTCTGCCTTCGGGACTCATTTGGACAATTTATAAATGACCGCCAAGTCGCTAAGGCATGGGGTACAGATACTTCCAAAGTTGGAGAAATGATAGCGAAATATATGGATACTTTGTTGCGTGGAGGGCTCAAAGCTGTACCTCGTTCTCTTGTATCCGACGCCACAGATCGGAATGAGGCTGAGAAGAAAGGACAAGCCAGTACCGGCGACGAGGACGCAGAATTAGACCGTCAACTGGAACAAGGCCTTGAGCTGTTTCGCTTCATCGAAGGTAAAGATGTTTTTGAAGCGTTTTATAAAAGAGATTTGGCACGCCGGTTGTTGATGGCACGCAGTGCAAGCCAAGATGCGGAGAGGAATATGCTTGCTAAGTTAAGGGGCGAATGTGGTAACAGTTTCACTCATAACCTTGAGTCGATGTTCAAGGATCAAGAAATTTCTCGAGATGAAATGATATCATATAAGCAGTCACTCAGCAACACAAGCAAAACCACACTGGATCTCCAAGTCAGTGTCCTCTCATCTGCTGCTTGGCCAACGTATCCGGATATTGAAGTCAACCTCCCTGCGGAAGTCGCAAAACATATTGAAAAGTATGACCGGCATTATAAGCACAAACACAGTGGGCGTCGATTGACTTGGAAACATTCTCTTGCACACAGCATCGTCAGGGCAACGTTCAACAAGGGTGTAAAGGAACTCCTAGTTAGTGGTTTTCAAGCTGTTGTGCTCGTTCTCTTTAATGAGCTCGAGGATGGTGGCCATCTTTCCTACACGGATATTTCCAAAGCAACGGGTCTTGTCGATGGTGAATTGAAACGAACCCTGCAATCACTTGCATGTGCCAAAGTCCGACCCTTAACTAAGTACCCTAAAGGCAAAGAAATCAGTGAGACTGATACGTTTACCATCAACCTCAATTTCTCAGATCCAAAATTTAGGATCAAGATTAACCAAATTCAATTGAAAGAGACCAAGGAGGAGAATAAAGAAACGCACGAAAAGGTTATTCAGGATAGAAGCTTTGAAACTCAGGCTGCTATTGTTAGAATCATGAAGTCAAGAAAGACGATGACGCATCAGAATTTGGTAGCGGAGGTCATAAATCAAACCAAAGGGAGAGGTGCAGTAGAACCGGCGGAAATCAAGAAACATATTGAGAGTAGGTTTCCCATTTTATTGCCTAATGCCTTCCCAGTGAATTGAAACTAATAATTCCTTTAGAATTAATCGAAAAGGACTATATCGAGCGCGAAGATGGCGGAATTTATACATATCTAGCATAGAAAGTATAATGTATCTTATATAGGAATTCGGATACATTAGGGGATTTGTGGTTATACGCCTAAGAGAGTCTTTAGTGTTATATGAGTATATGAATATATGAATATAAATACTTTGCTCTGGTTTCCATTTTGTTGAGCGGCATCCTATGCTCTTTTTTTTTCTTGATATGAGAGCTCTTTCACAGAACAGAGTAGTGACTCGTGATGGTATAAATCTACAATTCTCTTTAAATAGAGTAATCGTTACTAGGTAGGTAGATAGCTTGGTTGGCATGTAGATGACTATATATCTTTCTGAATCATAATAAAAATAATAGTAAAAGAGAAGAATTCTAATTAGGTGATATAAGAGAGAGAAAAAAGAGATGGGGGGAGAAAATTGATAGGAGTGATAGAAGGAGGGGGAGTGAGGGGGAGAAAGGAGGGGAAGTTAAATATATTTTTATATGGTGATGTTGTTTTTATATTTATTTCTTTATTTCTTTATTTCTTTATTTCTTTATTTGGTGAATGAAGGGGTGGGTTTGTATTTATGTATATGTGAATTTGATTATGGATTATAAAAAAACTAAACAAAATTCACTTTTGCAATAAACAATATATCCCAGATTATCATCTTATAGAATTTGTTTTTGTATAGAATTACATTTTCTTCGCTATAGTGTGTATGTATGTATGGTTTGCTGATTGTTGTATTTATATTTATATTCCTGTCCATTCTTCTTCTCCTTCTGCTCTTATATCCTCATTCTTTATACATAACACTGCTGCTCTCTTTATGCAGTTGAATATTTTTCTAGTTGCTTGCTCTTTGTTCCTAGCTCTTGGCTCCTTGCTCTAGATGATGATGCATACTCTGTATGTGGCGATTACGGATAGTTGGTTGTGTTTATTCGCTTATGCTTATGCTTTTGCTTGTGCTTATGCTTGCGTGGCGAGTGGTGGTGATGTGGTAGTGGTAGTGGTAGAGATTGTATTCGATATTGTTCGATTCCACTTATAGAGCCGAGAAAGGAGCTCCATGTAACGTTCCTCTTCTCGTCCCATTGCAGATAGGATCTCTAACTCATGCAGTTAGCACAGTAAGGCGATATCTTTGGATAAAAATGAATCTCTACACAGCCGCAACACTTACCCTTCGCAAATTTGCAAGTTTTACACGGCTATGGTTGTGGTGTTGGATCTCGGTCAAGCCGGTCTTGAGACATTGTGGAAAGCGCGAAGGGGGTATAGGATAAATAAACTCGGAAAGTGCCGGGTGAGAGCAATCGAGTTGATGTGGCGTGTTCGTCGCGATATAATCAGTATCGCTCAGTATATAATCGTTCATTCCCATGTGGAATGATTACTACCTGCCGCTTCATCCATCGGTAGATCCAGCACCACTGCCAGTTCTAACCAAGGCTTCCCAAGCGGTATCAGCATCGGCTTGGGTATCTGTTCATGTTAGCATTTGCAATATATAGAAAGGTTCTGGTTCTGGTTCCAGAAGTTCTTACTGAGAAACGCGTCATTACTAGCATTAGCCCTAGCATCCGCCCTCAACCACCTCGTAAGTGCAACATCACGACGATGCATAGCCCTGCCACGAAGAAGCATCAGTCTTTCCCAACTGGCAGTAAGTTCTTCGTTACGGGCGAAGCTTCTCCTCGCTCTGTTCCACCTTTCACGATCTCTGAGGCGAAAGTTTACGAGTCTTGTAAGATAACCAAATTCAGCTTCATAATTGGTGTACCTATGGAAAGCTTCGTCAAGTTTAGCTCGTGCCTTCTGCAAGGCTTCGTCGTTAATGACTTTTCGGCGTAAATTTTCCCTCAAAAGATTCTCGTATGCCAATATTCGATGCTTCTTGTGGGAAAGGGGACTCGGTTCTGGAGGTGTTGGAGAGGAAGCATTGGTAGGTGATACAGTGGTTGACGGTAGATCACTCGTTTGATGTTCCATGGCAGGTTCGGAGGACATGGCTTCATTCAGGCTGGCCCCGTAAGACTCGATGTCTTGTCGAAGGTTTTGAAGACGGCCAGATTGGGAGTTGATTTCGCTTGGTGAAGGGGACGCACGACCACTAGATGGCGACATTGCTCGGAGTGGGCTTCTTGAACGGTATCGACGATCACTAGAATTATTAGCCGTGTCTGGGGACATACTTCTTCTACCACGGCTTGATTCACCCCCAGACTGAGAAGTCCTCTCAGATGAGCTTTTTGGACGGAAGGGAAGATCGTAAGATTGATTCATGGCTGGCTGCAAATGGACAATCAACTTGAGAGATTTCTGCAAAGGTGTTTTACAAACTGTTAGAGAGTGGTGAGATTCAGGGTGGGAATTAGGCAACGACAGTCACCTCAGGAAAATAAATAATCTTGATTTGAAGGGTAAGTCTTAGTGCGGGTAGCTTCAACCCAGTACATGTGCTAAATCAATCTTGACCTACGGAATGTATGTTCCTTGAAACTAACTACGGCAGGCGCGACTGTACCTCAGAGATTCGAAATCATTATTTAAAACTGGGATTTCACATACAAAGATTCGGGTCGTTGCAAATCAGGCCTCGAGTGTACTTGATTTGTTAATGAACTTATTTCTTCATCCACCATGGAAGCGAGGTATATTCTGAGACAGGATATTGGAAGGGTTTGCTGAATTATTAAGAACAAACCTCAAGAATATCTAGAGTCCCCGAATCTCTCTGGAGCCACTCCGTTCATTGATGGGTATTGTAGAGAAATGAGTCGTGCAAAGTCTTAGGCTAGGCGCACGCGGTCCGCTCCGTTGTAGCTCACCGAAATTGATGGTTGATCATTTTTACATACAATCTTACCAAAAAACCAATTGACAAACTATTCGAAATATTTGCAGCTATTGTTTATTGACCGACATTTATTCTGGAACATACAGTTCTATTTTAATAACTTCGGAATGTTAATTGGTTTTGTATATCAAGTGATACAGCACCCCTTCACTTATGTTAGCCAACATCCAATTCTACACGAAAAACAAAAATTTATTTTTTCAACTTTTTATTCTGATTATATAATTTAAAATAATAATAAAAATAAATCTTAAAATTTTAGTTATTATTTTAAATCGAAATATTCAACATATCGATTTTGAATAATATTTCGTTATCAAATAGATTTTATAGAATTTATTGAAGTGAATGAGTTTCGGTGTAACAACCCCACGCAGCAAATTGCTGCGGTCTAGTACTGTCATTTTGGAAAGTATGCCATGACTAAAACGGAAGCACGTGAGGAGGTTCATGAAAACTTTCATGAGAACCTAGCTTCAGAGTAAACAAAATCATAATCACAACCAACTCCATCGCTTTGTGGTCAATAGACCTAAAAGACACAAATATGAAGGACTACGGCCTACTGGCGCAGAGGTTGATGTGGTAATATTACCTTCAGGTCTTGTACAAAGTCGTACGTAAAGGAGCTTTGTAACATGTGTATAAACAAAATAACGACCCTCACAATCCAACACAATACAACTAGTATTGACATCAATGTGGCTTTAAAGGACAATACGAGGCCATTCCTTCGAGTACAGACAAAATAAAGTTTACTGTAAAAGTAATTGTATTTTAGAAAAGGGTGGTTGGTTGAGTGAGTGATGGAAGTATTCCACTTTCGTTTGTTGGTACTAGCCTTGCAGACACGTGAAGAATCTATGGTCTGAGAACCACCACGAAGACGATCACGTCTCAATTATTTACATTCCAGAATTTCAAAAGGATATCTCTTTCTCTCTTATGCTTTGAAAGGGGGAAGAATCCCATCTCCAAGGTAGGAGAATACACTTGAGGTTAACCTCCTTAGCATTAAGGTGTCGTAGGACCTGTAATTTAGGCTGTTTGTCGAATATCGAGATTGTATCTATGACAATATACATGAAGATCTTCCTATACTTGGATGACGGGTGGGGTAAATCTAGACATACCATACTGGCATACAGCTTGTTCGGACGATGAGAGAGATAGTAATAAGATTGATATTAAGTACTCCTTCATAGAAGTTCAAAGTCCATACTCTGTGCGGAGTACATGAACCACAAAGGAAGAAACGTGCGTGTTCGGAAGATATAAATGATACGTAAACCTTGTTCCTGAAAATGCTCCATATAATTAATTATTATCAAGCCATGATCTCTGCCGTGGAAATCCTGGGTGTTCGGAGGATAGATATACTTATATGAAGTCGCTCCAATTTAATACATATCGGTAAGTCATTGACCAACTATTTGAGCCATGTGTTACGACAAGTAACAATTAGGTCACGGGATTAGTAATAACACGTGACGCGAGGACTTGAAGAGCGAAAGGATTGAAGCTCGATCCCCTCGCTCTCTTCGAGCTATAAAGTGTGACGCCTCACACCTCCGGGTCACGTGGCATGCCCCGTTTGTATTTAATCATAGGAAAACTCTCTACTCTTGTTTTCCTTCTTCTTTTCTCCTTAGCTTAGTATTTTCTAATACAAGATACTTTACCCAGTATTCTTGAGTGTGACATAAAGTATAAAGGTCTATATAATCAAGATGAATTTCCTTTGTATAAAGCTTGGTGCTCAGGATCAATCATTCAGTATACTCTACTATTAGTTACAAATTGTATATCATTATTGTCATTATTTAAGTCTCTGTTTGACGCCTAGTTATAAACTATCTCGAGAGTCTAGAGCACTTCCACGTGATCTAGACGGCAAACCTCGTAACATATATTTATTATTTATTTAATTTTATATATTTTATTATAATTAATTTTTAATATTCAAAACAAGTCGATATTCTGTCTGCGTCTTTAATATATATTTAAATTTAAATTTGAAATAGAAAAAATTGAATTTTTATTAGACTTCCTCAGAAAGCCAGGGGTCCGATGGGCGCTGTTACGAGGTTTGCCGTCTAGATCACGTGGAAGTGCTCTAGGGTTACGACGGATCTCACATACCTAACATCACGTGATTAGCATCATGTGATATGAGGATCCCAGTAGGCTCAGCTGTCCCAGTACAACTGGGACAACTGGGAGCACTGGGACGCATGCCACGATGGTCTATATAATCAAGATGGATTTCCTTTGTATAGAGCTTCGTGCTTAAGATCAATCATTTAGTATACTCTACTATTAGTTACGAATAGCATATCATTATTGTCATTACTTTAAGTCCCTGCTTGACGCCTGGTTGTTACGAGGTTTGCGGTCTAGATCACGTGGAAGTGCTCTAGGCTCTCGAGATGGTTTATAACTAGGCGTCAAGCAGGGACTTAAAGTAATGACAATAATGATATGCTATTCGTAACTAATAGTAGAGTATACTAAATGATTGATCTTAAGCACGAAGCTCTATACAAAGGAAATCCATCTTGATGTGACCAAAAGGGTGTTTATAGACCAGCAATTGTATTTAACTTAGAATCTACAGGTGAAGAGCACCTGTAGATGGGGATAGCTACTCTATATATACACAAATGAATGGCCTAGCCGCAATGGCTAGGCAAAAAGAAGTCGTATTTATTCCTCCAATGATCTTACTTTACCGATAACCATTGATACCTAGTACTTGTCCGGATCTGATCCTCAGGTCACCTAAATCGCATACTAATCTCGAGTAATCGTATCATGTGTGGACATGGTTAATGTACCTGAGGTTTCTTATATAATAAAGGTGGGAGGAAAGCAGGGATTTCCGTCACACTTGATTATATAGACCTTCATGCCTATGGCTAGTCAGGACCGCGCAGCGGTCCATAACGTGACTTAATCACGTTACCTTGGTTTAGTCATGTAACGCGGCGTAGAAGATAGCCGTCGTAACAAATTATTAATTAGATAAATATTAATATCATCTATAATTATCAAATTATACTATTGAATAATCGAATTAATATATATTTTTTAAAAAGTTAATTTTTGATGATAAGAATTATAAAAGCTTGGGCCCGGTCCTCTTTAAAGACTAGCCCGACTATTCGGAGGAGAAAAAACAGGCCGGAGTCGGCCAATGCACAGCAACGCCAAATTTGGTGAGGGCGCACATACCATTTCGTGTGGTCAATATCGGCCTGCTATTTCTCCTCCGAATAGCCCGAGTACACCTTTGGAAATTGCGACATAACCTTAACATGATCAAAATCTGACATAATTGTTGACGCAGAGATCATCCAAATCATCCAAATCATCCAAATCATCTAGATCATCCGAATCATCGAAACATCCAAATCATTGTCGCTTGGTTATCAACCCAATCAACCATATCGAATGGCTCATACATATGCGAAAAGTGTTCAAAAATACATTTTTGTTTTATAGTCATAACAGCGCTCTTATTAAAGGAAATCTGTTGGTGGTTAACTGCACAGGTTGCAAACGTGCATATCGTGCGACGCACTAAAAAGCAATAACCGCCGTTCTACTCCGCTCGTTAACAAGAATTTTCAAAATGATTCGAAACTACCAGCATTATAAAAAAAAGGGTCAGAGAGCAAGTTGAGCACCGAAAAAAAAAATCTCTTCTACGATCCCGTGCTCAGCCAATCTAGTGCCATGGCAACTCTTCCTCCTCCAGTGATTGTAGTGAAGATCATGTTAAGCTGGGCAAAACATTCCGATGTTATTCAGTCACAGCGTTGCTTGACCATACAACATGAGCAGATGAGCAAACCGAATCTGGTATTGGATTTGTGGAACATACATGCTTCGCCATGTGAGACGCTCCAATGATCGTATTTAAATCTACACATTCATCATGAAGTGTGGGTGAACGGCCTGGAGGACGCCGCTAATGTAGCTGGTACTTCTATTTATTTTCGCCATGCTCCAAGGTTTGACTGGTGTCTAGTTGATGCTGTGTCTGCTCTTAAGAAGGGTTTGATAGCTCTGCTGATCTGTTTTCGATCTGGACTTCCTTTGACTTTCTCTGTCTCTGTCTCTTTACTTGTCATTCTTTCCTTTAATCATTCCTTCAGAGGAAACCTCCATTCTTTTACATTCGATATCACTCGTGTTTTTAACCACTCCTGGCGGGCCATTTTCTTTCACCTCAAAGTCAATATCGATCGACCTCAACTCGTGGCTATAATTTATATCAATAAAGGTCGAAGGAATCAATCTTTTTGGTCTGCTTTTTCGGCTACAGCAACGCATTTCAGCGACCATTTCACAAGGGTTTCACTCATTCAGACCTTCGATATCAGGAAAACTCTATCATTCCTATCTCTAGAACCATACATTGATCCACTCCGACGTCTGGGCTACCCACCCAAACCGGTCATCTGAAACGCGAATCATCAAGAACTGACAGCAGGCACGGGCATAGTCTGTGCTTCATAGATTTCGATTTCTCTCTCGGGAACCCATATCGACCTTTCAGACCTCTTCTTGAACTATTGTTGGCTTCTATTACTGGCATAACCGATAAAAGCTGTGCTCATTGCGTTTGCCTTTCCGTCTTTTGTCTTTTTTCTTATTACATTCTTTCGCCGTCGACCTGTGGGGCATTGGAAGACATCCGGTTTGTCTCAAGCTATACATATTGCATATTGAAGTCCAAGATACTCAATGAGCATTGTTTGATTCTAATACAACGAAGCTATTTATTCTTCTTCACAATGGGGTGGTTTGGAAGTCAAGATTTGTCCACCAAGTTTGGGTAAGTTTCTTGATATGACCCCATTCGTACATTTTTCTGATGTGTCTTCTACAGCATCGTACTTGGTAGTGCTATTGTAATTGTATTGGCCGCTGGCCTGATTAAAGTATGGTACAATAAACGAAGGTAAGAAGAAATATTCAAAATGGGAGGACTTAACTAAACGTTCTTTTTAGACTTGCAAAAAATATAAAGATTGAGGAACTCGAAAAGGCAAATAGTACTCAAGAGAGACTTAATGTAGAGGAACTCGGTGAAGGTGATCTCTTTGGTGTTCGCGCAATCGAAAGAGGTTTCTTTGGAGGCGTCTCACAATCTAGAAGCAATTCTCCTGCTCAATCGATGTTCGGACCACCATCAACAACTGCTGTAGACTTGTCAGAGGCTACCAGAAATCTTGAGGCCATCAGAGGTCCATCAACAGCTAGCAGTAGCAGTGGAGATAGCCTGTCGAGACATTCCAGCGAGATTTCTGCTCCTAAATCTATCAAGCATAAACCTTCGCCTCTTCGCTTACAGCCTTCTGATGCGGAAATCAGACGCGCTGCGATGCATAATAGAGCAGGTTCATATATACCGCCACCACCAATCAAGGAAGTTCAATCGAAACCAGACTCGCCTGATGTTCAATCCGGCACACGTTCAGTTTCTGAGTCTCCTCCTATCAGAACTCAATCAGATGAGGATATGTCTCAGTTACGATACGAAGGGGAAGTTCCACGCAACTTTATGTTTTTAGCAGGTCAACATTCAAGCGTTAGGTCTCAAGCTGGGTCCATATACGGCAGTGCCGAATCATCACCAAGAAACCCAGCCAAGATTCCCAAAATTCCCACACCTCCAGCTCCAACCCATGTATTTGGCTTCCCTCCTAGATTCCCCGCACGATCACGATCTAGCTCCCCAGAGGAATCCTCCAGCAGTGACAGATCCTCATCTTCATCTCCCGAATTACCCGTCCCATCCATCCCCTCCCCATTCCGAACCTCCTACCAACCCAGCACACTGCCCGAAGAAAGCAAACCAGAAACCCCACATAAACGCCTCTCCTACCAACCCACTCTCCCCAACGAAATCCAAACCGAACAAGAACCCTCCCCATCATCCACCACGCGTCCACCTATTCCCCCGCGCAGCCGCCCCGTCACCGGCCAACTATCCCGCACCAACGACTCTATCCGCATTTCGCGAAAATCCTCTCTTCAAACACATGAACATCGTTACTCGCGAGATAGGGATTTGATGCACTATGATCCTACTACTGGGGCTTCGTCACGCAATAGGAGTGGGAGTGTACAGGGGCGCGCGGTGGATTTTGATCGCCCGAGGGAAAGTCCGTTTAGTAATTCTAATGCGATTGTGAGTGAGAAGGGGAGTGTGGGGAGTGTGGGGAGTCGGGGGAGTTTGGATAGTGGGAGTAGTGGGAGTGAAGAGGGGGATTGGAGAGCTGGGGGGATGGGGAGGAATAGGGCGGAGGATATGATTGTGGAGGTTGAGACTCCGATTATGAGTCGTGGGCGCAGAGTTGATGCTAGTGATTTGGTTTAAGAGACCCGGGGAGAGAGGTTTGGTTATTTCGGTTTTTGATTTTGTATCTACTACTACTACTACTACTTACTGTACGTATATTTTAATGGGGTATTTATCGGTTATGCATCGGATAGGATAGGATAGGATCTGCTGGGATACAGGCAGATGGAATAGGATAGGACAGGCAGGCATGGCACGGCATGGCAAAAGTTCAAGAGTAGATTCTTGACTCCCTTTGAGGATTATAAGCTGTGCTTATATTTTTGATTTGTGGATTAGATACCATTTCATCATCATATCATATCATATCATTTTCATTATTATATAGATAGATATATAGATGAATAGATAGATAAATAGATACCGCATATTATTCTTATTTTATTTTATTTTATTTTGATATTATAAGATTTTATTTCTTCTGGTCTAAATAGTTTGTACAGCACGCGATTACACATCTTAAATTCTGAGGGCTCCTATAAAGTGCTAGATTTCACTTATTTACTTTCTTCCCTTTTTCTTGTAAGACTATGATTATTTACTTATATATCGTCTTATACTGTTATATTAAGTTACATCATCATATCACATTATATCACACCTCTATCCAATAGGTACTAGGTAGGTAAGGTTACTTGAACGAAATACTAGGTATTTATCAGTGAAATTAATGACGCTTCGCCATACTTCATATATGGTACATCGCATCATACAAATCGTCGTTCATATTAATTAGAGATCTGGGATATGTAGTTGTATAGTTATATAATCTTAGTATGTAGTGAGTTTCTGAATTCGGGGGAGGGGGTTGGATGGAGATGGTGTAGATGGAGGTGTAGATGGAAATGGAGATATGATTGGGAAGAGGACTTTCCGGATATAGGGATTCTCGAGAAAGTTTGGGGAACTGAGGATTTGAGGATGGGAATAGAGGATCATGTTGGGAGCAAGGGATGAAAGGTGAAGGGATGTGAAGAGTAGAAGATTAGAACGAATAATGGTGTTGGGGGAAAAGACGGGAGTAGTAATAGTTATAATTAATGATCATCACCATCGTTTGCCTTTGATTTCGGCAGTGAAATATCCTGCTTGTTCGTTTATACTTCTACTATATAGAATTATTATTTCTTGACCTTCTATTCTCATGATTCCTCGCTGGATAAAACACGGAAAGGGTATCTTTGATAATTGTGATCCCTGGATGGGGTGTTGCAGTGATGCGAGGTTCAATGGTAATTCTGGTCCTGTTATTGTGGTTTTATCGATACTTTTTCTTGTCGTTATGGGTGGGTTATGTTGAAAATGGCGAGATATGGTGAGATATGTATAGGTAGATTTGGCAAGCTGGGAGTCCTTGGCTAGGTGTATATGAGGTTGAGGTTGAGGTGGACTGAGCGAGTTGAGCGTACTTTTTGTTCGATTGTATTTCCATGTGCTTTGAGATAATTGACTCTGTGTATATAGAAACGGAAGAGAAGGGCTTGGATAAGTAAAAGAAAGGAATAAGAACGACGAGGTAGAAATAAGAGATGGTATATGTGGAAAGCAAAGCTTCAAGATGCAGGTATGTAAGACTTCGTAAGACAACATATGCAATAACGTCTTTGCACGACTTTGCACGATCGAAATTTGGACGAATAAAACTCAGAATACGGGAGATTCTAGCAATCGATGAGGCGAGACTCGGCGAATATTCTGTAATTATATTTGGGAATGAACTCTAGATTTAGTTTGGGAAAATGATACGGGAGGAAATGATGGGGTGCTTGAAAAGAATTGGAGAATTTTGGTCTTCGGTCGGTGGCCCTACGCTACGATACGGATTTTGTCTTAGAATTGGGGTGGGAATTTTAACGGACTATTCTGGAAGGAGGTGAAATGCGAATTCGTTATTTATATGGCATTTTGGGGAGGAAATAAAGAACAGGCTTTCAAAAATAAAAATCTAGATATAGATGGTAAATATAAATATAAATACTAAGTTTTCAAGAATGAAGAGGTAGTCAGTATAGGTATTGTACAATCAGAATTATTGGTATTGGGCTTAAATCCGGTCGGATAAATGTTAGACCGTCTATATAGCTTCGCCTGACCAACCACACATAGACACAACTTTTCATACCGAAATATCACATGGAATCGGGATTATATTTCGTCCGCGGAGGGGTTTGGAAAATGCAAAAGCTCGAATCTCTCGAGATTGTACTCCGTTCGGCATTTCCATCACACAGGCTGCATGGCGGAGTCAAGTATGATTCAAAGATTCAAATGTCCTAGCCCTACGACTATCTAAAATTACGTAGATAAGCTTGTTGCACACTGTGTTACTGTACTATCGCACTTTTGCGGTGTTGTAAAATCAGATCCTGCAGCAAGCGAATGCAAGATTGACCTTGATTCCAAAGTTCCAACGGCAAAAACAAATGATTGACTATGCAGGGGCAACTTTCAGGGGGGGTCATTTCTTGTGGAACCTCTTGATTCTATCTTCTCCGTACAGCTTGCAGGATGGCGAAGTACAGAATCATTGAAAAAAAAAAAGTGCAATACGATACAGGCATCCATCAAATCGGTGTGAGCGATACTACTCCGTGTTGTACATCGTAATTGCGGATTTCTTCACGCACGGATTCAAACTACTGTACAAGGTATTCAAAGTTGTTCGTTCGTTCAAGCGAGCATGCTCAAAAAGAGTTCAGAGTTCAGAGTTCAGGTGACCTTCTTCCTCGAATAGATTAAACAATTTTTACCCCTTGCTTTGACAAATTGATCTCTTAAAGGGACTTTTCTCTCCTTAAGCCTCAAGGCTTGTGAAAAGTTTAATACATCTTTAGCAGGAAAACTTACTTACTATTTACTTGAAAGGCAAAATGTAGATCCTCTTCGGACACTGTACCGTTGCTGAGCTTGATTGATAATTGATCTTCCACACTAATTCAAGCATTAAAATTATGCTTATGACACTTATCAAAATCGTACTGGGTTCTAGGTTTCCAACTTTCTTTCCATGGATCGAAATTTTTGAATACGGATGTTGGGTTTATAAGTGGTTCTCAGAACCTTTTATCCCTGTGGTAAGAATGATAAGGAATCAAATTTGATATTCATGCTCCAATCATTCTTTTGATTTGTAAGCAAAGTCATCATGCTCCTCCGTGTGTTGTCCCACGGGCGGCAACCCTTTCAAAAAAAAAAAACAAACAATAGAGAATTCTCTGATACGACGGGCTTCAAGTAAAATTACATCTAAAAGCTTCTTAAAGTACCTTGACAATCAAAGACACCGAGGAAGAACCTCCTGCTCGTGGAAGAGAATCGTCAAGACTGATACTACAAACGGATAAGCTTTGATGCCATTATACCATTGTCTACTTTCTGGCACCTTTTCTAACTTTTCCGCCCTTTCCCCTGAATCGGTTACTTGGCACTTGTCAGAAATCAAATACGAGAAAATCACGCCTCTTCTTGTAGGAACCATCCGAACGAATGATGGAGCAGTTGGATGTGCCGGAGTCTGTGATTCGTCCCAAGGCAATCTTAACTCCGCAGAAAAAAGCAAGCTACAAACGAGTTAACAAGTTACACGGGTACTTGTACCTGCCAAGAGGATTAGTACTACAAGGATATATGTTAACAATTCATGAATATTGCCCAAGTGGGCGAAGTTCAAAATCTCGTGTTCATAATCCCGAAGTACTTTTAATAGTTTTCCCGCCTTAATCCTTCCTATCTTACTCTAGAGTGATTATCTGATTTAGTACATTTACTTCTCTTACACCACTCAATCCCCTTTCATTTTCAATTCCATCATCTCTTGCATCTTCTTAAAAGACAGACACATTCGTTTTCGAAATACTTAATCATACATCATATAAAATCTTGTCCATCGTTCGTGACAATTTAATCGACACTCATTCAACTATTATCAAGTTTTAATTTCTCACCCAAAACCAAACACTTCACAATGGCTCGTTACGCTCTCGCTTTCGCTGCGCTCTTCGCAATTGCTCAAGCTATCAGCATCACCTCCCCATCTACCGATGGAGAATGGGATCTCAGCAAAGGTGCTCAAACTATCACCTGGTCCTCAGTCAACACTGATCCTACCACCGTCGATATCTACCTTGTCCACATGGCATCCAACCCACCTCTCAGCGATAAACTCTTCAGCAACGTCGATATCACCGTTGGATCTGAGACCGTTTCCGGCCTTCAATTGCCAACCGGTAACAACTACCAAATCAACTTTGTCAGCCCAGGAAAACCAGAGCAAATCTTGGCTCAATCTCAACAATTCGAGGTCAAGGGAGTAGCTGAAAGCGCAAGCAGCACTCTTGCAGGTTACACTGGTGCGTCATCTACTTCATCCGCTTCTTCTACTTCATCTACATCTTCCGCTTCTTCTACCTCTTCCTCCTCTTCGAGCAGTTCGAGCAGTTCGAGCAGCTCTTCCTCTTCCTCTGAATCTAGCTCGCTGACTTCGAGCTCAGGCACCACCTCCACTGGTACCAGCACTTCTACCGGTACTTCTACCTCCACCTCCACTGGATCATCCACCACTTCCACCGGTACATCCACCTCTACTGGAACATCAACCTCCACCGCAACCGGATTGGTCACTTCTGCATCCGCTGCCCGTGCCAGCGGCTCTTCATCCAGCACCTCAACCTCAAAGAACGGAGCTGCTGCCACCGGTATCCCAATGATGGGACTCTTGGCCGGAGCCGCCGCCATGTTCTTGTAAGAGAATTCAAGTTCTACTGGGGTAGATAGGGTGATTAGATGAAAGAACGATATAGAGTCGATGGTGTAATGATGGATGAGATATCGCGTGGGGGTAGAACGATAAGAAAGGATTGATTGATTGATTGATTGCGTTTACGGAATTTTGGGCATTTCAAACCTTTTACATTTTCGCTTGCACATTTATCTCATGAATGAATATGTTTCTAAAATGTACGGGTTTGAGTTCTTGGGGTACGATGGATACGTATATGGATGGTATGGATGGATGAGAGAATAGCTTATAGATAGACAAGATTACTTTTCACGAAGATTTTTCGTGTATTGGATTTGGAAGAAAATTTTAATTTTTGATTTACCCTTTTTTAACTTTTTTATTTTTATTTTTATGCTGGTAATTGGAGTTGTATTCTCTTTTTTTTAGGCTTTTGAATTTGAATAGTAAGTGAGTGATTGATTGATGGTGAAAACCAAAAATGATATTCTCAATTTCCTTTCCTTTCCTTTCCCAAAAAAGAAAAAAACTTGTCATAGTCATCCAATCATCCAATCATTCATAGGTCATCTACATCGGTAGGTAGCATACCCAATATCCAATTTCCCTCTCCTCCGCTCACCCCACCCCAAACTTTCCAAATAAACCCTCAGGAATCAAGAGTCACTCAAACCAAACTTCGCACTAGGTACTCCACAATCACGAAGAAAAATCAAGGGTTTTGCTTTTTTTTTTTTGCTTTTTTTTTTTTGTTCTTTTAGGGAAAAGGGATTTTGTATTAATTAGGTAGGTAGGTAGATAGGTAGAAGGGTAGGTAGTGAAATAAATGAAATGAAATAAGCAGGTACCCGTACCCGTATCTGTGCTCTGTACTCCGTGTTCTGTATGGAGTATGCAGTGGTAAGGTTCCTAGGTAGTTAGCACGCCATGTGGAGATTTCTTTTTGCAAGGTGAGGTGAATCAGGTGATAGATATTGTGAGTGGGATGGGTGTATGTATGGGCTCGTATGAGCCGGGAGGGGGGTTTTTGTAACGATACTATACTAGAGGCAGCGGCTGCCTAAGGTTTCGTCTGGTTGGTAGTTGTGGGTTAAGGCTTTATCACTGGTCTTCACTTGGAAGTGAAGTCGTTACTAGATCAAGTAGAATGTAGGTAAACTAATTGATAACTAAGTTGAGCACGAAGCTCCTTAACTACGAGACTAAATGAATGTTTATATACCCTATATCATCTTTTGAGGACCCTTGGGACCCTAAGGTCCAAAAGGTCCTCGAGGTCACGTGAATTAATGAATCGTGACACTGAGTTTAAAATGAGATTTGTACGACTGGAGTGGAGGTTTGATGACATGTTGAATGTGTATACCAATATACCTAGGTATGTATAGTGTGGAGGTGGTATTTAGGGCTGAGGATGTTTTATATATATATATATATATATATTATATCTGGATTTGAATCTGAATCTGACTGAAGATCGTTTTTGTCTGGTTTTGAGCAGGGTAATTATTGAGTATATGTATGCAGGTATTGGTTGTATTTATTAATAATTAATTATATTTTTGAATTTTATTAAGATTACTCAGATTTGGCTTTTGTGTATTAGCTTTTCTCATTTATTTCAATCTTCAGGGCATGGGCTATGACACTCCGAGGAATATATAAATTCTTATGCGGAACGCACACTGTATTGTTCTTGATCTGATTTTTTAATTTATTTCTTTGAGGATTTGACGAGCAAGTGTTCATTTAGTCATTCATTCATTCATTCATTCATGGCATCCTACCTGGAAAAATATCCGCTATATATCAATTTCAAATACATACATAATGCATCAACACTATCTCAAGTGAATATAAAGTACATCATATACAAGCCAGAAACATTCATATGGCAATAATCAATGGGAATACATTTCCAAAATACCTGCTGCATCGGCCCGTTCACCACGAAGGATGAATCCTTTTATTCCTTTACGTTTCAATTTACGTCGGATATTTTTCCGCTGTATTGTACGTGTTAATCATTAATCTGAACTGGAAGATTTCCTCATCAAGCAAGCGAGCAGGAACCTCCTATTCCTGAGTATAGAATCCTCTTTCTGAACGTTTCATATGCTCTTGTTTCAAGCCAAACACAAAAGGACTTCCAACCAACCACAATTTATGACTTCTTACTATCAAGAGAATGTTCACTTCTGAGATAGAAATGTGTATATTTTAAAGTCTGTCCAGGGTTGATATAATTAGAGAATATTATTGTTTCAAGGACGGTGATGATTTACCTCGAGCGTGGGATTTAATGGCGGTAATGCGAATAATGCCAATGATGAAGGCCCTATCTTGACAGTGGAAGATCCTCTTGATAACATAACTCAGAAAGAAATCTTATTGATTTCCTTTGCGACCTTGATATTAATGCTGGCTCAATCGAGTTTCATGGTGAAGCTACATGTTATCGGTGATGTTGATACTACTCTGCAGCTGCTGCCAGGTTTACTCTTACCAGAACAAGAATTGCAATCTTTATATACCTACCTACTCACCCAACCCCAGAAATTTGACACGCACTTAAAGATTGATTTCTATTTGTAAGCCTGTTAAATTTACCATCCATGGCAATCGTACAAGTCAATGTGAGGAAGTTACGGTTCGATATAACATCCACATCTCTCTTTTCCAGCGTCACTAGTGTAAACTTCATAAACAATAGTTACTGATTGGTATTCATACTTTATAGCTATCTATCTATAAAAAACCCAGTGCTTTGCAGATTATGATAAAGTAGAGAATGTACAGTTGAACGATATGCTGGATCCAAGAAGTCAAAGAATGGTATCAGAAAGTAAAAGGTAGTATTGCATCAGCGAGTCTTGCGGACTTTTGACTACTTTCCGTATAATTATCAACCGCAGATAATAATTATCGTTGAGAGAGTATTTTTTCTCGTCGTTCTTCTCATAGTGAGGTCTAATGGTGATGGGTTTAGTTGGCGACAATGATCATCGAGGCAAGGACAGTAGTACTTTGCTAGCCCAAGAAGAAAATTTGTCAGATACCATAGGCAATATCAAGTCAAACACAAGCAAAAAGAACAATTCATCATGATTATTCAGAAGTCAAAATTGAGCTTTAACCCTTGCTAGGCCTACAAACATCTTTGCCAATGCTATACATAAGCCTTTAAAAAGAAAAACGAATAACCCATCCATGTACATAGCAAAGCAATCTGTTGGGTTTCTTGAGACTAGAAAGAGCATCAGATTGAATTGATTTTATTCTCTAGCTAAGCAGTTAAGCTGCGAGCATATATTCAAAAAATGAAGGAATAGGTTGGGTATTCGGCCTTCGGAATTAAAGTGCTTTGAAATCAAAATATTGAAAGCAAACAAACAGTATACCAAAAAGGAAAGAATGAATTAAAAGTTGAGTTTTGTTTGCTCCTTATATGCATATGTACTATATATGCATATGCTGCCAAGATCCCAGGAGGTCAACACAATCTTTCCAAGTCAGTAGATATCTTAAAACACAAAATGTTGTACACTACATGGACTTTCAAGCTCGCAATCCAACCAGAACACAAATCTTCGGGCAACTCGCACTTCACATACATGCGACAAGAGCAAAAAGGAGATATAAAGATATCTTTCTTTCTGAGAGTAGACATACCATTATAATCCATAAGCGGGGAAAGCAGAATGTCACATTTCATGTAAGATAAATATATCATTGTCTATACATGCTAATATGAATTTTATTCTTCAATCTCCAAAGTTCGAGTTAGGTGATGCTCTCCAAATTCCATTTACAACCAACTCCCCGAAATCCACAAGGACTAAAAAACAACAACAGTGGTAATGATGTGGATGTGGATCACAGTATTGAAGCCATTAAATACTGATGTATGGGTGCATCCAGCATCACCAATATGAAAAGATTCCTCATCATCCTCCTATATATACCAGGTATGTAGTTCCCATACATCGAAGACAAAAACGATAACTTCGAAGTCATAATTAACCATAACAATCGCGGTCGCGGTAGCCAGCCTCTAGCTTCCCCGCCCCCTTGGTGCGAGGAGTATATATATTGAAGTAGAGACTAAAAAAAATATACAATCTAAATAAACTACAACAATTAAACAGATATCTATCCTTAATCGACCCATGGTGAAAATTCCGTACATAGATGTATCTGTGTCTTTCCAGAATGATGATTTGATCATGAGATGGCTTTTTATTATAGCTGAGGATGGTATGATTTAGGAATATAATTAGAGAAACTATAAGAGGGAAGGATATATATATGTTTATAGCGGAGTTGTGGATTATTGTATCATTAATACATAAACAGCAATAGCAATATACCAATAAAGAGTTTCTACTTATTTAGATGAAAATTAAAATGTCTATATACCTGGGTAGTTATTTGAGAGGTGTGGTTATATTATATTGCAGAAAGGGGTTTATTTTTATTTTTATTTTTATTTTTATTTTTATTTTTATCATGGCATGGATCTGAACCTGGGTTATGTAAAGTAGGTATGTAAGAGAGATGTTTTGTCTCTAGTATACTTTGTATGTGCATTTCCTCGATTTTCCATTCTCCATTTTCCATTCTTTACTCTTAACTCCAACCTTCTCCCTTTCACACCCTATATCTCCATCAAAACACAACCATATATCCCTCTCACAATCCACCCCCTCCCAAAACATAAAATCACACCCCCAAAACCCCCTCCGCCTCACACAATTCCCACCAAGTCCTCCCCCTCCACCTACCATCAACATTAATCCCCTCATCCCTCCCATACTGAGCCACCCTATCAAAACCCACCTGTTTCCTCTTCAACTCCACCCAAAGCTCCCTATCAATAACCGCCCCCCTACGCCTCGCATACTCCATCTCCTCTAACTTCCTATCGACCGCCTCTCTCGCAACTTCATCATTCTCCTTCTCCTTCTCATCCTCCCTCCTCAATCTCCTCTCTCTTCCCTCACCCTCCCACATCCCCATCAATCCATTCTCCACCCTTCCTAGCATTAATCTCCCGCGTCTAGAATCCCTCAATGCATCTTCTAGTTTCCTAACTACTTCATCCCATCTCTCTAATTCTAATTTATCTTCTTCTTCTCTGATTATTCGATCTCGAATGTTCATTGTTTTCTCGTAGCTTGCGGCTAATATTGCATGGTGGGATAATATGAAGGTTATCCATTGCCATGGGGGGAAGACTGCGTATTTGGCGACGAGGTATGCGAGAGGCAAGGCAACGACGAGATTGAAAAGAACTGTGGGGGTTTTGTTAGTGTGTTTAATGAGAGTGGTAATTATTGTATGTAGGATATGTAGGATTGATGTTGGACTCTGACTAAAGTAAGGGGAAAGAAAGTAATCAACATACCAAAACCAATACTAAACCTCCATTTTTCCCATTTAATCCATCCTCTAGTCTTGTTATCCTTCCTGTCATAATTCTTTCCCACTCCATCCTCTCCATATCCAACCCTCTCGACTTTCTCTCTCCTCAACCTCTCCATATACTCCAACTGCTCTTTATTCCACTTCCTCCTAACATGTCTTTCCGGTCGTACTCTTAAACCCACATTCTCCGAGTAGGATCTAAAGGGCGGAAGTCCATGGTGTGAAATCTGACCATCACTCCTGTGCGAGTGTTTTGCCGACATTGTATTTGTTGATATCTCGTTGTAAGATCTTATGAACAATGTTTTCGTATGCTGTGTATTGTATGTGCTGCGGAACGTGAAATTTCCCAATCAGGGCCGAGAAGCCGTAAAGTTGAAAAATTGTAAAATGGTAAGATCGATCAATCTCGACTTGCAGTTATAGTAGATGACCAAGATCGTTGATATCGAGGTATTAATACCAGCTCCGATGTCAAGATTGATATACGCGCCGATGCAAGAATACTAGGCACTTTTTTCTCTTTCCCTCTCCCTATCTTCTCCTCTTCCCTTCAATAATCCTTCTCACTTATCGTTTTGTAATCAACACTTCAACCCTTAAACCTCTTCCTTTCCCTCTTAAATTCTTCCTAAACCCTTCCCAAACCCTTTCTCAAACTTCCCCCTAAACCCCCAAATAATCAACAGACTAAAATAAAAGAAAGTCTCGAACCGTAGCATCCTACCGGAATCGCAAAAGCCGTAAAACACCGTAAAACTGTAACGTCGTAGAA